CGGTTACCAGAGTTTTACCCTTTCTGCTGGGGTGCTGATGAGCAGGCTCCCCCGCCCAACGCTGAGCACAGCAACCCACCACCCAAGACCCCAACCAGGCGACCAGATCTCCCTCCTAGCCTCCAGCCCCAGTAAGCCAAGCAACAACAGAGGTGTGCTAAGACCCCTCCGCCTGCTCCAATATAGTGTTAGTGTGTGTTGATGAGGTGTATTCCATGACTGTGGTGAGCGGGCAGTGCAGGCATTGTCTGGCCTATGCCAGCTGATGCCACCGCACCACCCCACTTACACCCACAACCCTCGGTGTCTAAGTGCCGGTGCCCACTTCCATTTTAAACTGCATTTTGGCCTTTTTCAACCGCAGACTGCCTCGTTGAATGACATCCGTTGTGATGAGTTCATTGCCCAATAGCATGCGGAGATCGTTTGAAAGACAGCAGTAGAACCCGCCCCACGACCCAGAACCGTGATTGGAGCGTTGCCAGACTAAATAATGTATTTATTTAGTCTTGGCTTGCCAGGCTACCCATGACCTACGTTTTCCACAGAAAGGAAGTAGATGGGAAAACAAACGGGTCTACGTCACAGGGAAAACCAACATTTGTGGACTCGCCCACCTTGGCTCACAACTGCAGAAGGCTGAATTGATTTTGCAGCCAGCAGACTGCATCTCAGCGAATGGAAGCTAACAATTAGCATTAGCAACTTCACAACATGGCGAAACACATTCAGGCTTGTGTTATTTGTGGAGATTAAACGTCAATTTTGCATATTTTACCTGAGAAAGAAGAGCCAGCAGAGGCAGCGAAGAGTTGCATTGCTATTAGCCGATCAGAGGCCAGATGTTTTCATATCATTATTAGTAATGCTCCAAATTCTGCCGCCCCATCCCAATGACTACCTTCTAATTCCTGAAACAGGAGTGCCCGAGCTTTTTTCCACAGAAAACAACCCACGAGGCATTTATACTATACACTATAGCACTCTTTTTCAAATAACTATTAAATGACTCTTTTACTACTACTACTGCTACTACTACTACCCAGTTTTGTATTAAGCAGTTACATTTTGTCAAACGTATCCAGAAATTATTCTCCTGCTTCATCCCTCATTGTAACAGAAATCCATCCCTGTTTATAAAAAACCACAGACATCTTAGTAAATTACCATATACTGCAAAACTCTAACTGCTGTGGAAGTTCTGAGATGAGAGCTGCTTAAAGATAGTATTTTGGTTTTTGCTGCACTTGGACTAGCTGTTAGCTCATCAGTCCTGAAGGATGTGAACTCTAATTCTCCAAACAGAGGCTGTTCAGGAAGCTTTTTCTGAGTAGGGTAGTAATCATGTGTAACTTTGACATAGAAACACACTTCTGGATCACAAATAAAACTAATTTATACTCATTCAGCAAGAATGTGTGATGGTTTCATTTTTCCCCTTATTGTTTGCACAACTCGGTTTAAATTTTAGATTCGTGTTTGCAGTTCCTGTTTGTGTGCACCATTATCCTCACATCAAACACTTTCCTTGGGAAGAGGATTGAGACTTTTCTTATAACACAGAAGACGGACCTTTGAGACAAGATTATATCTTTTACTTTTTCTGGCATCAGCTCCGAGTTTGCTGTCAGGGCCGCTCAGGCTTTAAGGATTTTTCCATCAATGGCTGTTGTGAAACAGCTCTGTAGATTGGTTATGCTTGTGGCCAACTGACTGCAGGCTCTATGGGGGCACAGTGGTAGTCATGGTAACCACTGAAAGGGGTGTATTTTACTTTTTATTTTATTTATTTTTTAAGAGCTGTTATGCATTGAACAAGTTTGCTCCCCTAGCATCGTGCTAGTTTTTGCTTTCTGTGTCATTCTGTTGAATGAGAAGTTCTTTGCTAGTCTGTCCATGTCAGCATCACACACACACACACACACACACACACACACACACACACACACACACACACACACACACACACACACACACACCACACACACACAGAGAGAGAGAGAGAGAGAGATGAAAGTGGCCCACCAGCCTGCTTTCCAGGCTGTCTGGCTGTCTCTGTTGGTGTCATTGAGACGTGCCCGGTACTTCCAGTCTCTCTTATTTGTCTCAATGTACAATGACCCATCATTACTGCCATGTCAAGGAGATGGAGGCAACCAATCCTGTCTGGCCCAGAGGGACGCTCACAACCAACCAGATCTGGAATCCCCATAGTTACTTGTGCCTGAAAGCCCCGGCACAGCCAATAGGAGCAGCGAGCAGCACTTAGCTATTAGAGTTTAATGGCCTGTTTCTGTTGTCATTAATAAAACCGTAACCTCTTGTAGAGAGACCTTTTTATATTTTCAGTGGGCAGTACACTCCTGCAGCATAAAGATACTCCAGAAGAGCATCATAACACGACTCTTTCGCTCTGATGCATGATTATCTGTCTGCTCACTTTACAGATCAACAATGGTACCAGGCCATTTGTCAACAGAGCGTGCTTTACCCTTCATAGTCTCCTCTGGCGCTCTGGCCAATCACCACAGCTTTGTGTCCATCCGTTTTCTGCGAGGCTGTACCATTAGCATAAAGTAGGTCACTCCAGGCCAGGAGGGAGCCAGACTCAAGTTTGCATGGTCACTACCACTCCTGTTAGCTTAGCCTGCTTCTGCCAGGCTGCTGCTGCTTTGCTCGCCTCTAAATTATGTTGTTCTCTGCTCTGTTCCTTCCTTATGTAATGGCTGAGCAGCGAACGGTGTGTGTCACAGCCGTTTCCATGGCAAGGGTAGCTGAGAACGTATCACAACACTGAATGCTCCAACCTTGGTACGGCTGCTGGGAATGACTTGGTTTCACTTCCAATGTCTCTCTTGGGTTTTATGGATTCTTTCTTATTTTTGTTGCTACGACAATCTGAAAGCAGAAAATTTTCATAGAAATATTTATTTGTTGCTTTAAATGGATACTTTGATTTGACGATATGAAAAAGTTGCAATTTCTTGAACCAGTTTGTGCTAAAATGACCCTTTACAGTAGGGATGCACCAATACTGGTATCGGTATCGGGGCAGATACTGATACGATACTAGTATCGGTATCGGTAAAAGTTAACCGATACCAATGCAGTTGCTTGAAAATGGCTTCACTATAACTTGTCATTTCTGTTCATCTAATATTTTAGTTTTGTGATGATTTCTATTCATATATTTTACTTTATATCTACCTCACAGTCTTTTCCTGTTGAAAGCAGAGAAGAAAATAAAATCTGTGGTCCAAATCATTGCATTTTTTTGTCTGGTAGAAGTATAGGTATCGGTATCGGCGAGTATTCAGATCCAAGTATCGGTATCGTATCGGTTTTTACAGGGTTAATGAAAGGCCACCCAGCCCCTATCGCCCGCTGTGGCCAGAATATTGCACTTGCAACTTCAGAAGGCCGCTCTGTTGGGCTGACTTACCTGGCGCTGCAGTCTGCTTCCAGCACGTTTCCTGCATGTTTTAGATCATGAAAGCTGATTTATTTTAATTTAGTGATAAATTACTCCTGTAGACACTAAGGAAAGCTGGGGAGATGATAAAAATATTGGTTTATTTCTATTTTTTCAAGCTTGAGTCCTTTAGCACCATCAGGTTTTTCAGAAGGTAGCAGTAATTTATAAGACATCACTGTACTTGGGTGAATAATTGATGTTTTTTTTTTGGTTAGCACTACAAAGTTCAGCCTGTGGTGGCTTTAAGGGTACTAGAAGAGGCCAAATCAAAGATGCCTTTGTATAAATCTCTTGTTTGTTGTTGTATTAAAATGAAAAAAATCAGGTATTTTAAAATCTAGGCTGTATTTCCTGGTGTCAGAGAGACGGCTGTAGTGTAATCCAGCGAGACGAAGGTCTACTTCAGAGTAAAAGCCTTTGTTTTATCATCCCAGCATGCCAGGTCAATAAAAAGAAAACCTAAAGCCATTAAAAAGACCTCCTCGCTGTCTACAGCAGATTTAAAAACATACACTGCGTCTTGTTAAACTGCTTCTTTCAGCTTCTGTACTGCACATTCTCACGAAAGTCCGAGTATAAAGTTTAGCATGGCTTCACATTTCAGGAATATGCACGATAAACAAACAAGCCATACTTCACTTCAGTGCTATGACATAGTTTTACTCTTAGCTGGCTCTCTGCCACGTTTACACTCTCATCCTGCCTGAACTGCTCAGCTCCCCCAGGATTCCAGAGCGACTTCTGTTACATATTAGATACATGCGTATCTCTACAGGCATCCATTCTGCAGTCTTGTCAGTCGCTAATGAAACAAATCTGTGCCTCTTACTTGCAAAATAAAGCTTCTAACTGGGGCTCAGTTTGGCAGATCTGCTGCTCGTTCAGACCTGGTCTATTTTTTTCTTCTTTAACATTTTAAATCGGTGACTATGAAGAAAATGCAATTTGCTAGTAGCTGGCACGTTCCTCTGCATGTCATCCGAAACAGCAAACAGTCTAAAGAAGCATTTTGAATTGGTTTGTTGAGGAACTTTGTCCATAACGGCAGCTAAAGACATTTTTTGGCGACTTCCTGCTCACTGTAACAGGTGAAATCCTCTCAGACAGTAACAACATGTTGTTATTGTAAAGTCACTCTGCTCTTAATGTGAGCTAGCTTAGCTTGGTTTTGTGTAACGAGCATTTTTTTCCCCTTCAGCACACGGCTGAGTGCACAGTCTGCTGCTGTGGGCAAAGCGCCGTGCTCTCATTTCTACGTCTCAGGAGAGAATTGTGCCATTGGAGAGAAATGATTGAATCTATACCTCTGCTCCATTTTCACTCATTTTCTCCTGGAGTGGACCAACTTGTGTGCCCAGAAATAAGACTTTTGTGGTGTACTCAGATGACCATACGGGCACACGCCTGATTTAGCCCTCTGTATACTTCTGCTGCTGACAACCGTGGTCAATCACTCAGATGCTGAAAGCATTGTTTTATACGTTAAACTGTCTTTTTTTTCTGTGTGTGTGTGTTTGATTTCCAGACGCTGATATGCATTGAGGATGAGTGGAGTTGGTGAAAACTCATCTGACCCTGCAAGGGCAGAATCACGAAAACGCAAAGAATGTTCTGCAGAACCTATAGGACCCAGGTAAGAACATGGTTTTGTTCACTTCACATCCTTTCTTTTTGAACATCCTCAGTTCAGAGAAGCAGAGATTAGTGCTGACCAAACAGATGAACTAACAGTTGGTCACACCGGTGCTACTCCTAAAAATGTCAAATTGGGTCGTGCAAACCCGGCCTTTCCACTGTAAGGCATAAGTGGCGTTCTTTACTGGTAAAAGACATGTTTCTCACCTGGTGACTTTTAGATGCAAAACAGCAGCAAAAGTCCCACGCAACTGGTCCCACGAGGGCACAAAATCACTAGAGAATTGCAAGATCACGTGTGATTTTGGCAATTGACTCAAAACCAGTAAAGAAAGAGGTGGCAGTGTGTACAGTGGGGCAAAAAAGTATTTAGTCAGCCACCGACTGTGCAAGTTCTCCCACTTAAAATGATGACAGAGGTCAGTAATTTACATCATAGGTACACCTCAACTGTGAGAGACAGAATGTGAAAAAAAATCCATGAATTCACATGGCAGGATTTTTAAAGAATTTATTTGTAAATCAGGGTGGAAAATAAGTATTTGGTCACTTCAAACAAGGAAAATCTCTGGCTCTCACAGACCTGTAACGTCTTCTTTAAGAAGCTTTTCTGTCCTCCACTCGTTACCTGTATTAATGGCACCTGTTTGAACTCATTTTCTGTATAAAAGACACCTGTCCACAGCCTCAGACAGTCAGACTCCAAACTCCACTATGGCCAAGACCAAAGTGCTTTCGAAGGACACCAGGAAAAGAATTGTAGACCTGCACCAGACTGGGAAGAGTGAATCTACAATAGGCAAGCAGCTTGGTGTGAAAAAATCAACTGTGGGAGCAATTATCAGAAAATGGAAGACATACAAGACCACTGATAATCTCCCTCGATCTGGGGCTCCACGCAAGATCTCATCCCGTGGGGTCAAAATGATCATGAGAACGGTGAGCAAGAATCCCAGAACCACACGGGGGGACCTGGTGAATGACCTGCAGAGAGCTGGGACCACAGTAACAAAGGTCACCATCAGTAACACACTACAACGGCAGGGAATCCAATCCTGCAGCGCCAGACGTGTTCCGCTGCTGAAGCCAGTGCATGTCCAGGCCCGTCTGAAGTTTGCCAGAGAGTACATGGATGATACAGCAGAGGATTGGGAGAATGTCATGTGGTCAGATGAAACCAAAGTAGAACTTTTTGGTATAAACTCAACTTGTCGTGTTTGGAGGAAGAAGAATACTGAGTTGCATCCCAAGAACACCATACCTACTGTGAAGCATGGGGGTGGGAACATCATGCTTTGGGCCTGTTTTTCTGCTAAGAGGACAGGACGACTGATCTGTGTTAAGGACAGAATGAATGGGGCCATGTATCGTTAGATTCTGAGCCAAAACTTCCTTCCATCAGTGAGAGCTTTGAAGAAGAAACGCGGCTGGGTCTTCCAACACGACAATGATCCCAAACACACCGCCCGGGCAACAAAGGAGTGGCTCCGTAAGAAGCATTTGAAAGTCCTGGAGTGGCCTAGCCAGTCTCCAGACCTCAACCCCATAGAAAATCTGTGGAGGGAGTTGAAAGTCTGTGTTGCTCGGCGACAGCCCCAAAACATCACTGCTCTCGAGAAGATCTGCATGGAGGAATGGGCCAAAATACCAGCTACTGTGTGTGCAAACCTGGTAAAGACCTATAGTAATCGTTTGACCTCTGTTATTGCCAACAAAGGTTATGTTACAAAGTATTGAGTTGAATTTTTGTTATTGACCAAATACTTATTTTCCACCCTGATTTACAAATAAATTCTTTAAAAATCCTGCCATGTGAATTCATGGATTTTTTTTCACATTCTGTCTCTCACAGTTGAAGTGTACCTGTGATGAAAATTACTGACCTCTGTCATCATTTTAAGTGGGAGACCTTGCACAATCGGTGGCTGACTAAATACTTTTTTGCCCCACTGTATCTGTAAAGGTATGTGGCTTGTTTTCTGTTAAGCAACAGGAAATCTGCTCATTACTTTTATTTTGAAACTTTCCAGATATTTAACACAGCTTTCATATTTGTCTTCCTGTCTGGTCAGATCTGAATTGTTGAGCTTGACGTGTTCTGGAAGCGCGTAAAAAATAAGAGTCAAAGTAGGGCTGGACAATTTATCGACATGGCTGACTAACCGATAGAGTTGCTGAAAAAAATCGATTCAAGTCTGAATCGGGGTTCTTATTTATAAAGATTCAGAATCGATTCACAAAGGTTCAGAATTGATTCCAAGAACTCAAATATTTGGCATGTTACAGGTTTGAGATGCACTTTATTGATCTTTGTTAGGAGAGTCAGTACTCCGTTTACTTTTGTGGTCCCATAAATTGAGATGATTTATGTTTGGATCTGCTGATAAGGGGGCACTTAAATGTACGGTAATTTTTTCCATACTCAGAAATTTGAGACATTCTCATATTTATTTTCTAAGTTGATAAATGAGTACTCAGGATTACTCATGTAACTTGTTTCTACACATACTTGAAAAGTATTTGACCGTATTATTTTCAAAGCTACTGTTAGGTTACTACAGATTTGTTATATTTTACAAGGTAAGCAAAAATAAATGTTGCCTTTTGGTCAAAAGATTGCTTCTGTTTACAGTTTTAGAATCACTTTATTTTACATTGTAAATTTGCATTTTTGGAGCAAAACCTGTTTAAAGTCAAATAAAAATGTCCCATAGCTTTAACTAACTTGCACAACAAAGTAGTTCATCCTGGAGCTGACACTCTTTGTTAATACTGATTGTGAATCGATTTAAATTGAGAATCAAGAATCGATTCTGAATTGAATCGGCACCCCAAGAATCGGAATTGAATCAAATCTTGAGTTGCTCTAAGATTCACATCCCTACTAACCAATATCACTTTCCCTTGTCAGTAAATTTGGTAGTAAAAAAATATAAAGATGTGTGCAGGTTAGCGACATTTATGCCCCTTTAAGAAGCTGTACCACCTCGACACAAGTGATGTGACTCAACACAATACACGTGGCAACCTCATCCAGTGGACAACTTTAGTTTTTGCTCATACCTGTAGTTATCGTTATAGTGGAATTAAAACATATTAATTATGACCAATAAGATGTGATGATTTCATATAAATATGAAATCTCAGTCGGATTTATCTTTGAAAGTTTCATCAGAAGATTCTAGGGTTCTTTGCTTCTTTAGTGACCATAAACACACTTCGTATTAATTCAGACAGAGTCAGGTATATAGTTTATAAAATGAATTTAATTCTTTTTCCTAAACTAATAATTTATACATGACAAGATATGAATAATGAGATGTGGTGTGGTGGAAGTGAGGTGTTGTGATGGAAGCTAGAAGTTGTAGCAACCGTTCTTTGTATCTGAGAGAAATTGTGAAATCTGGGTGTAAAAGAATTTGTTGTTTGGTTCTAAACTAGAGAGTTGTTTATTAAAAACAGCATCAGACGCAATCTGTCGCGCCAAGTCTACGCACCCTTGGTGTGGAGGTTCTCGTTCGATCCGAGGGGTCGGTGGTCCCTGCCGGTGGAGTGAACCTCTGATATAAGGAACCCGTCGATAGCTCCCATAAGACCCGTCCAGTTTACGATCCCTTGAGGTGAAGGTCGAACGCTGGAATGCTTATTCGCATCTAAGGTGGATGTTTGAGAGGTGAAGTAGCTCTGGAAAGAGCTGTCTGGCTGTATCAGCTTGCAGCGTCGCAGAAAGTCTTTTGACAGGAGGTCAAAGGAGTTAGTTTCAAACATGCTTCTTCCCGATTTGGCCGGTTCGAGGGTCAGCTGGAAACTGAATTACTTGGGAAGTAATTCTTGTTTTATTAAACTAGTTTGTTATGATTTCTGACCAAGTTTGGCCATTCAGAGTTTGACACGTTTCTGAGTATTTACCAACATCCCTCAGAAAGCCACGCCTTCCTTCAGATACAAAACTCTTAACACTGTGAACAAGAATCTTTAAAACTCTTATGTAAAGTGCATATTAACCTTAATATGTATCTTATTGTAATGTGTATGAGTGTAAACAATGATTAACTTGTTAAATCAAACACATACTGATTTGTGATATAAATGGATCATTGTAAGAGCAATACTAATTTCAAATTCATTGATTTAAGCACAGGTTATTCAAACATTTGATGTAAACATCGTGTTCATTCGTCACACATGATTATTGTAAGCTTACGAGTTGTAAAATAATGGAGTCTTCGCTTATTCAGAGTGACGAATGTGGACGTCTGGCTTTGGCGCAGGGAGTGCAGGAATCATGAGGGAAAATGTTTATATCTGCGTTGAGGAACAATAAGTGAGCAAAGGTTTGTTTTGGGAGTCCAGATGGTGTTGCCATGAAAGGTTATTATGTTGGTCAATATGTAGGTGAAAATTTACCCTTTTGTAAAGCCCTCCACGGGCCTAAAATCTGAGCCCGGCCCGAGGAGGTGGAGCCCCAGCCCAACCCGGTCCGAAAAGGTTTTCAGGATTCTCTGGCCCGACACGAGCCCGACTTTTTTTTTTTACCTTTCATAATGTTTTAGCGTGATAGAATGCGCCGCATTCTAATTATCTGTGAGAAGGGTTCTGCAGTAAAAAAATAAAAGAAAAGAAAGAAAAACGGCAATCAATGCAGCTTTTTTTCTAACTATTTTCCCAGCGGCAGATGAAATTTACGAACACTATATTAATTGGATGCGTTTGTAAATTTAATCTGCTCTGAAAATGCACTCTTGTGCAATTAGAAAAAAAAAGCAGCATTATAATTTTCTAACTGCAGAGCACATTTTCAGAGCGGCAGATTAAATAAACACCCCAATTAATATAGCGTTTGTAAATTTAATCTGCCGCTCTGAAAATGCGTTCTCCAGTTGTATTTCTTTTTAACTGCAGAGCGAATTTATTCACAGAAAAATAGAATGCTGCCGTTTTCATGAGAATAAACGAATGGTTTCTGACATATCAAAGTAGACATAAAATGGCATATTAGAATAGGGGCACATGTTTCAATCAGCAGTTTGAGAATGTGTTTATATAGGCGCATTTGTTAACCACACAGACCTTAACTGAGCTAACGGTGCATGAGAAGCAGGCAGGTGCTGCTGCGTTCAAGTGTTTTTTTTTTTATGAATTCGATTAAAAATAAAGGTGCCCGGCCCGTGTCTGAGGTAATTACACAGTTGTCAGCCCGAGGGCCGGGCTGACCCCCGGGCCTAGGGCTCCAGTGCAGGGCTCTACCCTTTTGGTACGTTACAACTCCCCCCTTTCCAAGGTCCACGAGGCGTTGGACAATCTTAGAGGCCCTGAGGACTCCACAGAGGAAGACAGAGGTAGTTCAGGCACTGAAGCACCAGGAGTGAGGAAAAGCAACCCCCCACACAGAAGAATAGTCAGTCGATAACCCAATCAGGAAATAGTAATCCCACTTAGCGAAATCCGCAGGCAGGGACCACGATGAGAAGGCAACCAGAGCCATCAGCAGAAACAGACCAGAACCCATCGAACCACAGCGATCCGTAGCGATCCAGGAAACCATAGCAGGAAAACCATAGGACGTCCAGAACTCCAGAAGAACCGGAACTCAGAGCAGCAGAACCAGGTGATAAGGTGATGCTAGCAGGTTTGTTTTAGGAGAAATAATCAGTTTCTCTGAACTGAGGTTGTTCAATATCTACAACATGTATGATGCTGTTTACAACTCTTCTGATGGATTTCTTTTGATTTAACTTAAGAATATGTTTTCCTACTTGGATATTATTTCAACACCGCTTTAATTTCCCTTTCTCTCTCTCTCTCTCTCTCTCTCTCTCTCTCTCTCTCACTCTCACTCTCACTCTCACTCTCTCTCACTCTCTCTCTCTCACTCTCTCTCTCATAGTCCCAAGCGGAGCAACGAAAAACGCAACCGCGAGCACGAGAACAAATACATCGAAGAGCTCGCCGAGCTGATCTTCGCCAACTTTAACGACATTGACAACTTCAATTTCAAGCCTGACAAATGTGCAATCCTGAAGGAAACTGTGAAACAAATCCGACAAATAAAGGAGCAAGGTACAAGTAGCAACTGGTTGTGTTTTACACTTTGATGTTGTTTCCTTTTTTCTGTTTGTAACTCGGTCACTTGTTAGGATTGTCTGAATTTGCTCAGTGTTTGGATGGATTTGATATCGAAGTGTGTCAACTTTTACATCTGCAAACCGCAACTTTTGACAACTTTGTCGTGGTTTGGTATTTGGTCCAGGAATAAAGCTTTATTTTGTTATTAAAGAGTAACACAGTAGATTTAACACTCCCTCCATCGTGAATCAGAGCTGTTTTTCCTTTCAGAGCCAGAACACCAGGCTGCTCACATTTACCTGCCAACTTTTCCTTTTCTCAGGCCTAAAGGACTTGGCTCGCATTTTCTTTTTGATCTGATAGAAAATGGCGAGAAGAGGCCGTTTTTCCCCCGTCATAAATTTTAAAACACAGTTAAAAAGTTTAAATATTAAACTGAAAATAAAGTTGGACCCATTGTGGAAAAATGGCAGCTGGAGAACAAGGCGCTTGAATCTTTCGATGATGTCATTTAGTTTAGTGTGACTCAGAGAGTCTGTTGTTATGCAACGTAAGTAATGTGATGCAAAATTCACACTCCTGAGCCGCCACCATCTTTGTATTTTTGTTCTGTCAGCTCTGCCGTTATCGGAAATCAAAAGGAAAAGAAAAAAAAGTTCTGGCTAGTGCCGCGGGTGTATTTCAAAAACGATTAATCGGTCGATAATTTTATCGAATAGTCGGTTATTCTAATTACTATTTAGTAGATTAATAAACTAATGATTATTTTTCTATACGAGCCGCTTAGCATAGCGGTGTGGAGGATGCAAATACATCATAAATTTAGTTTAACCTGATAGATTTTTTTTCTGGACAAAAATTGTTTACTGGTAATCTTGTGAATGATGGGATATGAGCCAGCTCTAGATGGAAATGTAGTTATTTTACATTAATTATAAATATGTAATAAATAAATGTGCCTGTGGGAGATTTTAGACAAACAGTTCTTAACTGTGATGAATAGGTAGGTAGACAGGTAGGTAGGTAGGTTGATAGATATTTGAAGCAGATTTTTATTTATCTATACAATTTCTCAAGACAGCTTGAAGGGAGTTAACTTTTATATCGGACTTCAGCTAAAATATATCAAGATATAAGTTTTGGTCCATATTGCCCAGCCCTAGTTTTTCCCTTGTCTGATCTTCATTCACAACTCTGCCGTTGCAGTAATATGGCTATCAAGCTTGGCTGCACAAAAGCTGCAGTATTCCCGCATCACCATGCCGCCACAATGCTTTTCATAAGACAGACCGCGGCGGCAATATTACCCTGATTTTCTGCTGCAGTGTTTCTTATCAAAGATTAGCAGCTTTAAGTATCGCAATGCATCATCTTACCAATGAACACCTTTAGTAAAACATAATCTCATCATATTTTTATGAGCTGTTGGTTGAGTTATACAGTAGCTTGCATACTGAAAGTAGTACTGTTTAGTATAACGAGGGTGAAATACTTCACAAATAAGTTACTGTATTTGGGCGTTTAGGAAATCCAGTGCGGCAAACGTCTTGCTAGTTGCATATTGTGTAGTTGTTAATGTGATACACAGTCCTTTTCATTGATCAACTGCTCCTGCTATCTGTGGCACCGTGCCACGGTTCTGTAAAGAGGCGGTGAAGGCGGCCGCGACGCTGACGGATGGGTCTGTATTCGGGGCAGCTGTGTTGGTCTGCAGGGCCCCGCTGGGCTTGGAGAGGTCCTGCTGGTGCACGCATCATTAATGCTGAAAGAGATGAATATTTGTCTGGGTTGTGGGGGGGTGTTTTACAATTCCACAGAGCAGAGGGAGGCCTGCATTTGTCAGCGTTCACACATTAAAAAAATTGGGAAGGAAGTGATTTGGTTTGCACCACAAATATTTTTTCGCCTTATGGTCAGCCCTCTTTGTCTTTTTTTTTTTTTTTTTTTTTTTTTTTTTTTTGGCATGGTGTATTTGTTAAATGTGCCTCCCCCCCAACAGCCCCAACAGCCCACTCATATTCCACATCTCATCGTCGGCTCAGAAAGTAGGACAGCCTACGCTCTGAACATAAGGCCTCCTCGCGTGTTTATTAACACTGTCACATGCATAGGCACACAAGTGTAAAGAAAAAAAATCTACCTGTCATGTAAAAACTGCATAATCAGTTATTTGAAGTCTTTGTTCTGGAAGTCAAATCTTGAGTTCCCAACCATTTCAACCCTTGATAACGTCACTTAAATATTCTGTCTGGGTTAAGCCCAAGCTTAGTAAATTACAGGCGTGAGCGTGACTCGTTCCTTGCTGAATATCATGTAAATCCTTGTTGAGGCAGCCAGGCCCCTTTTGTTGTTGACCGTAAACAGATTTGTGTAAAATAATATCAGTAATTTGTGATTTAAACTTGAAACATAGTTTAAAGGTTCCAGATCATGTTATTTTAAACCTTTGAAAGCAAGGTAGGCACAGTATATGATCAAATAAAACAGTTGGCTCTATTTTGATGAAATTTATCTTAAATACGAGTTATTTTCCCAACCTGGAAATGAAACGCTTTGTTTCAGTGAAACTCCGCCCATGCCTGCTCCAATAAAACGTGCGTACAACAGCGTCGTAGGCGAGTCAGTGGTGCTATTGGCTGTGGTAATCCAGTGGTTTAGGCATCTGTCTGCAATCTCAGTTTTGTGCTGACGTGGGTTCGACTCCCGGTGGTGGTGGCAGTCATTTATTTAGCCAGGTCAAATGTTTATATTTTAGTTTTATTGATTATTTTCTGCAAAAAGATTTGTGCCTCTAAACATCTTTGAATTTGGTCGTTTCCAAACAGCATTTTAGTTGATTTGATCTGCTCACCTCACGTGGACTCACACTGGCTAAATAAACAAAGTATAAAAAAACAGATTAGTCCTCATATTTAAAAAAGTTTACCAATAAAGGGTTTCAAACATAAGTGTAGCTAAAAGAGAAGAGCAAAAGTTACTGCTCAGACTGCGATGTGGACCTGCGCTAAACCATATGCCAGCTCAGCACTCAAGCCACTGGACTACTAAGTCTGCTACATGACACCGGTCGCCTAAGCCACAGAGTCTGTGCCTGCCAGAGGAGATGGGTTTCAGACCAGAGACTAGCCTCTGGGAGAGCAGCAGGGCCTGATGACGAGGTTAGTTTTTATTAGGGCTGGGCAATAAATGGAAAATTTATTGTTATCGAAATTTCTGACTCTTATCGTGATAAATTTTCAAGTCAGTAAATCTGATCCTGAAGAAATGAAAACGTATGTGTAGGTTGGCAACGTTCATGTCCCTTTAAGAAGCTGTGCCACCTTGAGTTACGCAAAAATGTGACTCAACATTATAGGCATGACAGCCCCATCTAGTGGACAACTTTTGTTTCTGCACGTACCTGTAGTTATCGTCCATTTATCGTTATCGAGGTGAAATCCTCAATATATCGTGATATTGATTTTAGGCCGTATCGCCCAGCCCTAGTTTCCGCGGCGCTTTACAGGATTTTCAAAATAACTCAAAATTTGCAGCTGAAACAGGAAAAAGCATGAATACAGCCAAAAATAATATTTTTTTCATGAGGAAATAACACTACATGGTAAAAAGCTCCAAAAAGTGGATTTTCCATGATATGGCCTCTAATTGAGTCAGGAGTCCCCTCGTCTGGTCCAGTGATCAAACAATTGATAAAATGTAAACATTTACTGTTTGTGTTGCATCTATAACATTATGTTCTTCTGTTTGGCTCCATGAGAACAGCTTGTTCTTGTATTTTGTAAATAAGTTCTTTCCACGTTGTCCCTGTTCCATGTTAGTTGTTTTTTATTATTTTTTTGCACAAGACAACATAATCCATCCTGTGTCTGTCAGGAGTGCGGCGGCCGTGTGCTCCGACACACTCCGTTTAAAAACAACCTTTCACCCTGTTCACTGTGCTTGGGCTTGAGCCGCAGCCACATGTTTTCACAAATGTTTGCGTTCTTACCAGATAGACGCCGTTTCAGACCCTTGAAAGTCAATTTCTAGAGGAAATGGGAAACATCCTTTGTGTTTCCTTTTTTGAAGTTTTTTGGGTGTTTTTTGCTTTGTGTGCGCATGATCCTGCCTAATTTCATTTCTTTTTTTTTCCTTCTCAATGTGCTCCCTTGGTAACAGAAAAGGCAGCAGCAGCAAATGAAGAAGAGGTACAGAAAGCTGATGTCTCATCAACAGGCCAAAGTGTCATTGATAAAGATGCCTTGGGACCAATGATGCTGGAGGTGGGTGGAGAGCCTTTAGTTTCTTGTATGTGTTATAAAGTGTTGCACCGACTGAAGAACCCCCACCCTGTTCGCTCCACCACTCATGAAGGGTCCGCTCCCCTCTTTCAATCATGATTGATACATGAAGACCGCCATCCATAGAGAACAACCCCAAATGTGCCAGTAGTGTTTATGAGCAAGTGTAGCTGTATGGAGGCGAAGCCGCCAGCGTCTTGTATCTGCCCTCAATTGGCTGTATATCACCAAGCAGAGCAATGGCCTCGTTGTACCGCGGAGGGCCACTGAAGTGCTTACATATAATAGGAAGGAAAGCAACAGCCCCTCGAATGAATCAGTCCATTGAGCTTGTCCCCTCACCCATCTCCTCCCTCCCTTGTCTCCCCCACCTCTCCCTACTTATTCAGATCTCTTTCCCTCCCCGTCTTCACTTCATTCGCCTCCAGATCTGTTCTGTCATGGAATATTTATAGCACTCCTGGTCCAGCGTCACTGAATCGACATGCTAACTCGCGGCTAAATATAGCCCGGTGCAGCCTGCGAGCTTTCCCATCTGTCAGCAGCCCCAAAACACAGCTACAGGCCATTCACACCCGCTCCTCTCTGTCTCTTCGTCCGTGAGCTCTGACTCATTACTGCTCACTGTTGGGAGGAAACGCACCCACGCGCCCCATGACCCTCCTCCAAGCCCTGTTGCTGCCCACTTTTCATGCAAACGTAGGAAGACGGTGAGGAAACATTAGTGTGATCACAGACTGGTGTAAAATAACTAGACAGCAGTTATAGATCTCTAAAAAACAAGTGAGGGTATGATTTGATCACAAATATGCAGTCAGCATTGTGGACATTTGGGGATTTAATTATTTGATTGAAAGTCTTTTCGTTTTATGCACTATACAACTCGAAGGTTTAAAACCATAACTGGGTTCACAAGTTTGAATTTATGGTGAATTATAAACACATAAACATTTAAATAAAATCTCCTCCAAATCAGAGACCGTGGTCTTGAGTCAAAAGGGGAAGAATGCCTTCTCCGAGTCAGGGACGAGGTCTGCTGGTGCTGCGTCTGCGATGATGCAGGCGTTGTACTGGTCTGTCGTGGTGAAGAGAGAGCTGAGCTGGCAGATGTTTACTTTCAGTTTCAATATTATTGCTGGCCAGAACTCGGCAGTAGCTCCCCCTTATGACCATGACTCTGCCCTCTGTTGCGCCTAGTCATCATTGCTGTTTATAAGACAATTACCGCAATATTACTACCAATCGGCGTGGAACGACTGCTGCAAAGTTCACGATGTCCATGCCGGCATGGCGCGTTTTAGAGGACACACCTTTGCGGTAGTATTATGCTGATTTGTCGGCACAGTGTCTGGTAAAAAGGGCCTTAGAGAAGCTCGGTCATTCTGGAGAGGCTCTGAGTAGATCCGCTGCTTCTCCACATTGAAAGAAGCCAATTGAGGTGGCTTGGGCATCTGGTTAGGATGTTTCCTGGAAGCCTCTTTTGTGAAATGTTCTGGGCATTCAACTGGGTGGAGACCCAGGGGAAAACCCAAGACATGTTGGAAAGACAATATGTCTTGCCTGGCCTTGGAACATCATAGGATTCCCCTGGAGAAGCTGGCCCAAGTGGCTGTGGAGTGCAAAGTTTGGCCTTCTCTGCTTAGGCAGGGCCCCATGACTTGACCCTTTTTCCTAAAGTTGACTCATACCATCAGCCTTACACTCTGAACACGTACAGAAACCCTGGATTAGTCTTGGTCAATCCAGTGAGCGCTAACAGGAACTTTGCTGTGACCTCATCAAGTAATAACACTACAGCAGCACTTAATACCAGCTCAGTGGCCTAGTGGTAGAGTGTCCGCCCTGAGACTGGGATATCAGGGTTTGATTCCTGGTCGGGTCATACCAAAGACTTTGAAAAAATGGGACCCAATGCCTCCCTGCTTGACACTCAGCATTAAGGGGTTCACCGTTGGATTGGGGGGTTAAACCACCAAATAGTTCCCGAGCGCGGCTGTGTCTGCAGCTCACCGCTCCCCCAGGGGATGGGTCAAATGCGGAGAACAAATTTCGCACACACACCTGTGTGTGTGACAACTAATGGGACTTTAACTTTAATACAGCGTTTAGGGGAGTGCATGTAAGTATTTATACATCTGTGTAGAGTTTGGACCGTGCGTAAAAGAGAAAATCCACAATAAATTCAAACGTATGAATTTAGCCCTTGTTTTTAAAAGTCATTGTAGTTCCATCATTTCACCCCTGGAAAAATAATGGTTCAGCGTCATTTTAAAAGCACCAAATTAACGAATTTCATTCTCGTTAAAAATGTACGAAAAATACACCAAATGTCTGTATCACTAGTTAAACACTCAGTTTATTGTAGAAGTATTATAGAGTCCCATCAAGACTTTGGGTCAGTGTGTAGTTGAATCGATACCATGCATCGAGTATGTACACTGACTTGTATTGGCTTAAGTCATCTCTCTAGTGTATTTTTAGCGAGTGCTAAATGAAAGTATTGGCTAACACAATTGTGCAATGTTGTCTGGAGAAAGATGAGAGTTGGCACTGCTGAGTTTGTTCTGGTCAGTCCAGGTTCCTTCCTCACACACACACACACACACACACACACACACGCACGCACGCACACACACACACACACACACTTTCATTTTGGAACTGTCCGAGTTAATGCACTGAGATGTCTTTAAGTTCATTTTCTGTTTTAAACTCCCTGTTTGGACATAATCTCGGACGTGATTTAGGAGTTTAGCCCAGCCCGTGATTATTGATTCTTTAAGGCAGGGGTGTCCAATCCTGGTCCTGGAGGGCCGGTATCCAGCAGGTTTTGTGGTTTTTCTACTCCCAACAGACTTGATTCAGTGGTTGAAACACCTGTGCAGCAGCTCATCAGGCTCTGCAGAAGCTGATTGAAATCAGGTGTGATGAAACAGAGTTCAAACTAAAACATGCAGGACACCGGCCCTCCAGGACCAGGATTGGACACCCCTGCTTTAAGGCGTCGCAGGTACAGTAAAGGGGTCTTCACAGGAATAAATATGTGTGCAGAGTTTGAGTTTAGGCTGATTTAAAGCAGACTTAAGGGACAGACGTTTAGAAAATGTTTTATTTTGACAGCGGTTTTCACAGCTTTGCAGGCACCAGTCGTCTCCTCTAAGGGCTTTGGGTGATCTGATGGCCTAATTGACACCATCTTGTGTGTAATAGCTGACCTGGGGCTGTATTCTTTCAATTAGGCACTTCTCCTTCACATCCTCCAATCTCTGCCAGCACACGCGTTTATCCTGTTCTCTATCAGCTCTGCGCTGGTGCTTAAGCCTTCCGGGAGTGCTGTGTGTGTACCCAGCACTCGGTGAATTAATCACCCTCTTTGCAGTTGCTCAGACTTTTGCCAGAGTTTCAGTTATACAGAAATGCATTCAGCTATATTTTTCCCCCTCTGCAGGCCCTTGACGGGTTCTTCTTTGTGGTGAACATGGAGGGGAACATCGTGTTTGTGTCTGAGAACGTGACCCAGTACCTGCGCTACAACCAGGAGGAGTTGATGAACACCAGCGTGTACAGCGTGCTGCACGTCGGAGATCACGCCGAGTTCATCAAGAACCTGCTGCCTAAGTCTCTCGGTTAGCCCTGAAGCTTTTCGCCCACCCCTTCCAACATTCGCTCGTTTGTTTTTCTACCTCTCAGCTTCTGAAGCGCCGTCACACTTTGTGTTTGGTTTCTTCACATGCATGCCCTCCTCCTTGCATCACCTTTGTTTTTCTCCCTGAATGTCACATTTAACAGCAAATGTTGTTTTAATTGGACTTTTTACGGCTAAACTGCTGCGTGGTTGAATCTGCCTTGGCTGTGTGAGGATGAAAGCTATAGGTCGTTTTTCCTCTTTAGCAAAAGCTCAGCCCAGACATTTGCTCTCGCTCTTCTCCTCTTCCTTTCTCCCTTTTCAGCTAATTAACTTCCTTTTTTTAGGCCTCTCTCCCGTGTCAGCAGCATCGTGCTCTTCCTATATTCGCGTTTCATGCCCTTCCTTCCTCTTCACTCCTTCTCTGCCACGCCTCCCTCATCCAGTTCCCATTTTCATGTTCTCACATTCTCACTCTTTAGCCCACCCATGGAAATCACTCTCCCGTGTAGTTTAGCCATGCTCCCCTCGTTTTCTTTACCTTTCCTACTCTTACCCTCCCTCTGAATCTTCTCCTCGCCCAACAGGAGACCTAAGTCCTTCCCTGTTGTTGCTCTGGATTGAGGCTTGAGTCATCTGGGTAGGTAGAGCAGCACCAAGCAGAGTACCCTGGAAAGGATCACTGGGCTGCGTCCCAGATACTGGGAGATTATCAATGCACAGAATGAGATCACAAACCAGATGGAGCGTGATGGGAGATTGCTCGAATGAAATGAGTTGGACTGTCTTCATCTAGTGTGTGTGTGTGTGTGTGTGTGTGTGTGTGTGTGTGTGTGTGTGTGTGTGTGTGTGTGTGTGTGTGTGTGTGTGTGTGTGTGTGTGTGTGTGTGTGTGTGTGTGTGTGTGTGTGTGTGTGTGCAAGGGAAGTGTGCTCCTTTAGCCTCCCTAAGTGTTGGAGAGGAGAAGAAAGATTGGTGGTGATGTTTTTAGAGGACATGCATATGGAGGTCTGGCTGTGATGCATTGCCGTGGATAGATGGCTCTGGATTCCAACTGCTCATTACGACTGATCTCTACCCAGCAACAGCTCGCCTCTTTGCGCTCTTCTCTGTCCTAGTCTCATTACGTCTCTCACTTGCAGCATGATAGCCTCTCTTGGCTGACTCTCTGCAAATTCCCATATTCTGGCTGTTCAGTTTTAGTCGCAGGAAATTTTTGTCAAACAAAACTCCCTAGAGGCCTCGTTGTAAATGTCTTGTGTCCCCGTTCTCCCCCCCCCCCCCCCCCCCCCCCCCCCCCCCCCGGCAGTCAACGGTGTCCCGTGGTCCAGCGAGGGTCCGAGGAGGAACAGCCACACGTTCAACTGCCGAATGCTCGTCAACCCTCACAGCGAGAACCAGGAGGAGGCGCACGAGCATGAGTCCCAGCAGCAGAAATATGAGACCATGCAGTGTTTTGCTGTTTCAGAACCCAAGTCCATCAAGGAGGAGGGAGACGGTAAGGAGGGGAGGAGGGAGGTGGTGTGTAGAAGAAACAGCGTTGCAGGATCGGATGGCAGCAAAGTAGTGACCTTATGAAGTTTCATTTTCAAATGTATAGAAAACACTTTGAACAGTTCCTGGACATTTTATTGTAATTGTAACTGTTACTTAATAGTAAACAGAGGTGTAAGAAAATGTCGATTCACTAAAAATGTCACAATATTTCTTATGATACAGAATCAATATTCAAAAGCAGTGTATTGAGTTTTTATTGAGAGTTTACACATGTGGTGCAATTAAAACTCCGACTGCTAGGTGGCAGATACTGTTCTTCTGCAGTATTTTAGGTCAAACTTAAGCTTTTGTTCGTCATTTGTCCACGTCTAAGTTACTCTGTCGTGTTCTGGTTCAAGAATGGGAATGGGGAAGTTGAGTGTGTTGCTTTGCATGTTGGAGCTTTAGATTCGTCCCAATTTTAAGGATGCTGAATAACTGTATCTTTATTTAGCAGTAAACTTCCTGACAGAAAGCTGGTAGATTACACTGGTATAATCCAGTATAATCTAGGCCTCACTGTTTAAAAAGCAAATGGGGGGTGGGGGGGTGGGGGGTTGTTGCCTTTTGCAGCTAGCTCACCTACTGATTCCTTATCTTGTCATCGGAAATTTGCAACTTCAGTATCTGGCAGACTCGTATACATTATTCATTTTGAAGCAGAGAGTTAAAACGGCTGAGTGACTGCAGACTGAGCTCCGGTCTGCATCAGAACCGTGCCAAACCGGCACCTTTACACGTACAAGAACACTGACTCTAAAGATGGGGTCGGAGCCCCTCTGTGTGTCGTGGACCCTTTGGTATGGGGTGTTCAGATGATCTACAGATATGAAGTTGAAAACCAATTTTGGCTCATGAGGATAAAAAACTGACATCGCTGGACTTTTTCTATGTTTTAGTTGCCTCAGATGTTGGTTTAATTTCTCTGTAAATCATAATTATGTGAAGCACTTCAAATATTTTTAATAAGCATCTTTGGTTAAATGAAAGCAGTTAGCTCTCCACGCTAACCCTCAGCTGGCTGCTTCCTGTGTTGGAGGAAGGCACCATCAGCGGTTACAGGTGCAGGGATTTGTTCAGCCCCAGACGGAAACACGAGGGAGGAAGTGAGGAAAATGAATAATTATGATAACCGGACCACCCATGGGGGGTCTGTTTACAATTCAGAACAGGAGAGTTGTCACAGAAAATGTTAGCCTTTTGACCTTTTGGGGCAGCAGAAGCCGCTGAGTTGGAGATGTAAATTTCACAGGCATTGAGTGGCATTTTGGAGCGATGACGGGAGGAAGGTGTCATCTCTGTGAAACGATAGTGAAACCAGGCAGAGATGCACACACACACACACACACACACACACACATGCAGCGACAGACACACACCTCCTCAAAGGTCACACTAACATCATTTCCCTTGCCAGCAATAGCAGTTCCTCGTGAAAGGAGCGGAGCCCTGATCCCCGTGCTCATTAATAACTGTATTAATTATGCTGCCTGGGAATAACATGCATTTCATTATCACTCCCTCCCTCTGCCTCTATCCCTCACGCCCACGTCCTCCCCTCTTACTCTTCTCTTCATCTTCTCCTGTCCTCTTTGTTTTATCCTCCACCTTCTCTTTTGTCTTCTCCACCCATCCTGTCGGCCCTCCGCCCCGTTCCCTCCTCAGACTTCCAGTCGTGCCTGATCTGCGTGGCGCGGAGGGTTCCCACCAAGGAAAGGCCCATGCTTCCCACACATGAGAGCTTCACTACACGCCAGGACCTGCAAGGTACAACAACCACTCAGATGAGCCGGAACTGCAAATAAATCCAGCAGAGAACAAAAATAGCAGAAATTAACCAGTAGTTTTAACTTGCACCTTTGCTTTCCACACATTTAGCTATTTGGATTTTTAAAAATCCATGTTTAAAAGGATATTACGGTGGTTCGCTAACTTGCAGCAGCATCCTTTCCCAAATCTCTCACCCATAAATCACCTCACACAGCACTTAGGCATTTAAAAATTATTACATCCTCTGTAAAGACCCCCTAGGATTGAAGCTAGTTGTGTTAGCTTCCCACTCCTGTCTGCACACTGAGAGGTAAAATACCAGTTTGATCACTGGCACATAGAATGACACAGTTGTTTCACCTGCTCTTTGATTTACCAATGCCGTCTGTGTGGTATACACACTCACACACACATCACACACACACACACACTCCGAGTTAGTCACTGACATATAGTTATTTCCTGTCTTTTCCCACACAGACTCCAGTAGGTGTGCATGTTTGTAAGCCTCTGCTTATTTGGCTGTCTGTTAGTTCCACGCAGATCCAGACAATTATAATAATTTGTGCTGTTCAAGACTCACAGTATGAGTCTTTATTTTTAATCATAGAATTTAGCTCAACGCCATATTAGTGTTGATGCTGCTTCTACAGCTTCCACGGTGAAAACACGTGATAGATGGCTTGGAAAGGCTCCTGTTAACAGTGTTATGACAGGTCTGTCCCTGTAGCTGTCATTCAAACACAAGTGTGTTTGTCAGCCCTTCAAAGGCACCATTGCTTCCGTTTGAAATTGCTCTTACGTGAGGTACTAGTGGAAGTGAGACTGTGTGTTGACACAAGTAACCTGGGTGTACATGTTAAGCTTGTGCTTTGTTACAGGAATCTCACCACCTGTTTGGTGTCAAACCACAGTTTTTACCGTCTAATCTCATGTAGCGATGCTCGTCGAACAATTAATCTAAAAGCAGATTCTACGCATTTATCTTAATGAATATTTTCTGTCTGACTCTTGGATGATGTTTTGCTTTTAGGTAAGATAACATCCCTGGATACCAGTCTGCTCCGAGCGTCCATGAAGCCGGGTTGGGAAGACCTGGTAAGACGCTGCATCCAGAGGTTTCATCTACAAAACGACGGAGAAATGTCTTTTGCCAAGCGACACCAGCAGGAAGGTAATAAAAATAACAAAAACACTTTTTTTTTTACTCTAATCCAGAAGGATAATTAATTACAAGAGTTTTAGATATAAATATGATTCATTAGGTGCCACTACAATCAGAGGTTTAGCAAGTCAAGCCCCATTTTGAAGCTATTTCCTTTCTTCTAAAGCTTAATTGTGGGGTCTAACTTTTCCCCAGAACTATATTTGGCTTGTAGTTCTTGGTTCATTTATCTTTAGTCTTCATTGTTTTGCACAAAAAGGGGATGCAAAAAAGTCACTTCTATTCAGGAAAAACATCAGACCAACTGATATTCTGCTAACAGTCTAGTGTTTGGACTGCTAAGGTCTGGGAAAAAGTCATTTTTATCTGATGAATTCCTTTCCTGATTGTTTGGGACATCCAGAAAAGGAGCTGTCTGAACACAGCCATAATAAAGAATGGTAACCAACCATCATCCTAGAGGAACTCCTCTAATCCACTCAAGAGCACTTTGTCGATGCCTTTTCCAGCATGATGGAGCATAAAGTCAGAATTAAGTTACTCTGGGAACAAAACTTATCCTTATCCAGGAAACGCACCCAATTAGAAAGCTGGGGTTTAAAAATAAACGCATATTCTCACAAAATCCAAGCATTGATGTTTGGAAGGGCTGCCATCAGTGAGGATTTGCCCCTTGAAGTAGATCGACAGTTTGCCTGGGTGAACTGCAGGTCTAGAAAAGGAGGCCCATTCCTGCACATCGTCAGTAAAAGCCTTAATTCATCTCCTCATCTTGTGTTAGTGGAAAAATGAAAGCAGTTGTTTATAAATTAATGGTAAAAAAGCCTTTTTAAATGTATTTGCTGATGTGAGGGTTGATGTGTCTTCAGTGCTTCGACACGGCCAAGCGTTCAGTCCAATCTACCGGTTCTCGCTCTCTGATGGAACCATGGTTTCTGCTCACACCAAGAGCAAACTGGTGCGTTCAGCCGCCACCAACGAACCCCAGCTCTACATGTCCCTGCACATCCTACAGAGGTATGTCTCAGATCTACAATTTAGTCACAACTTCATCTTCGTTGCATGTTTTAGCTCGTTGTTGCCCCGAAGAACCGGGATTCCCTCTTGTGTTGGTTTTGTTAAAATTCATCAGTAGGCATGGCTCGTAGCATACCTTTTATGGTAATATCGGTAAATCTTTTCAGGCCCGAGAAAAAAAATACATCATGATACGGTAATTAGAGGACGAGAACTTTATTGAACTATAGGCATAAACACAGACCACCACTTTCTCTCTTCCGCTTGTTTTTTGTCTTTCTTAAATGTCGAAACGAGAACATCTTGCAAGCTAAATTATTATTATTGTATCACTTTATAATTAGACACTTTTTAGGTTAATAAATATGGAAATAACGGAAATGTGGGAAACAGAAAAAACAGAATTTGCGAAAAAATTAGGGGTGCATCGAAAGGAAAATTATTGACCGAAACCGAAAACCGAAATAAATTATTATGTCAATAAATAGAACCATGGCGTTAGGCTACGATGTTTACTAAACACTCTAAAATCAAGGCATTGCAATGAATCTGTTACAAAACCATGAAAATGTTTATTTAGCACCGACATAACAACAATGCACAATATAAATGAGTGTTTCTCAACACTGGTCCTCAGCGCCCCCCCGTCCTGCATGTTTTCAGTGTCTCTGCTACAGCACACCTGGTTCACATATTTGCATAGCCTCGTTAGGGTGACATCACGTGCTGCAGAAGCCTGTTAATCACTCATTCATTTAAGTCAGGTGTGTGGCAGCAGAGAAACGATGCTGTTGGAAACGGCAGCGTGGAAAAAGCATGCAGGATAAGTGGGCACTGAGGACCAGGGTTGAGAAACACTAATATAAATTAAAACTCACTTGACCCCACTCGTGTGTACGATAAATATAAATGTACAGGCTTATAACTGAAAAGCCTGCTGTTGACTGTAAAATTAACCCTTTAAGACCGGCGGGAGCGCCGACGCTCCCATTTGCATATCTGCGTTCAAATGCTTGTAGAACTGAAACTATGTAAGATAGAACAACATTTTTTTGCATATTAAAGTGGAGGAGTTAAATTTAAATCTCGCACACTGAACACGTCCCAGAGCGCTGCATATTTCTGATGATGACCAAAATGCGCAAATAAGAAAAGCGTTTTCATTCAGACACAGACGCCGTTTCGTACTGATCTGCAGCTCACAGGGCTTCACGCGCTAGAATAAACATCATCATCACGTTGTCGACGTGAACTGACTCAAGACTCAAGACAACTTTATGAGTCCCCGAGGGGCAATTTGAGACAGCGTTGTGAAGCAGCCGGCACTAAAATCTCTAAACCCAACCAATCTACACATTCATAAAACCCATAAAACCTAAATACGCATTCATGTCATAACCTCACATGTGAATGACCTACAATGAGTAAACCTTTGGCTCACGCGCACACACACACACACACACACACACACACACTGTCACATGATTATCACTCACCCAATTACCTATGACGTCATTTTCCCGCGAATTGTAGTTCTTTGTAGTCCCAGTCTTTCTTGTGCTTTTTTGCAATAATACATTTAGACAAACACATCCTACACACATCACACACCCACTACAAACTCCTGACACACACACCACTGCAAACATTTAGACGACTCACGGACCCGCCTAAACGGTACATCCTCCCTCCTCGAACCAGCTGATGCCATTACAGCGCCGGGTGATGTTTAAGTTTCACTTTCAGTTTCCTCACGTATGCATTCATGCAATATTCTTTATTATTGTTATTATTATTAGTAAGAGAAAAGGAAAACTGTATACTACAGAAAAATTAGCTACAAATATTCAACATTATCATGTTAGACTCCTGCTAATTATTATTATTTATGTTTTCGTTTTTGTTAGTTTATATAAATGAGTGTATCTCAGAAACTATTTTATGGAGGCACTTCAAATAAATTTGTGGTTATTTGAAAGGATTGTGTGAAACTTTTTTCCATCGACAATTTTGAGGGATAAAGCTGTGGCATTTCTGTATAATGAAAAATATGTGTAAAAACAAATAACGATTTTCAATTTCTGCACAGATGATTGCATTTTTCAGTAAAATATGTTGTTGCTATGAACATTTTACATTTATATAATTAAAATTTAGAAAGTAAGGGTTATATTGATGTATAGAAAGTTGAAATACTCCAAATAATGGCACCACAGCATGTAAAAATGTAAATAGAAGTTCTGGTGAACTTGTTCTATGGCAGGTCTTAAAGGTTTAAGCGCCAAAGACACAAAATCCCTCATGGAGTTATTACTTTACACCAGAAGATGTTGGAGATGTGTAACTTCAATCTGAGCTACACTTTTAGGGGTTTCTGTTGAAATTATCAGTTTATAGAGTTTGAAAGCTGCCCCCATACAAACAGTTTGTGAAATGGTGAATATTGTGCAGCTAGTTAGTATTTGACTTGTGATCCACGACACACTGGATTTATACTTTAGTGAGCTCGTTCATGTGTGCTCTGGCACTTTGAAAACGTTGTTTAGATTTAATAGTAGCATCTTACTTTGATCCATCTCTACGTCCAAAAGCACAACAGAGTTATTTTATTAGAATAAAAAAGGTCAGCTTTAATATTTGTCTTGTTTATTTTTATTTTAGATTGAAAAGTTTTCAAACACTAATTAAACGGACGGTGTGTGTCTGTGCAGGGAGCAGCAGGTCTGTGGAATGGGTCAGGACGTTTGTCCCGGAAACCAGGAGACGGGGATGACTCCCAAACCGATGAACTCCTCCACCCCCTCCATGACTCCACCAACACCGGGCAGCGTGCCGGGTTTAGGACCTCAGGGCCAAGACACTACTATCAGCAGCAACAGCACGCCTTTCTCCCCACCGGGTCCCGCTGGTCCCAGAGAACCAGCGGCCATGGGGGGCCATATGCAAGGCTACCGCTTTGGCTGTCCCCCATCACACAACTACACCGGGGGCATGCAGCCGCCACAGCAGGGCCCTAACTGGAGGATGAACAGCCCTTCTCGCGCAAGCCCTAGTCCGGCTGGGGGGCCCCACCCGCCTCAGCAGAACTCTATGCTGTCCCCCAGGCACCGTGTTAGCCCTGGGGGCGCAGGCAGCCCACGTGTAGCCGGCGGTCTGCACTCTCCCTCTCCGGTGGGTATGTGTGGTGTGGGGCCTGGGAGTGCAGGCAGTAGCAGCAGCAGCACTCATTCCAACAGCTACACTAGCAGCTCTCTGACGGCTCTGCAGGCCCTCAGCGAGTGTCACGGAGTCGGCCACGGGCACACACTGGCCTCTGCAGACCAGAAGCTAGTCTCTCCGACTAGCATCACCCCGGTGTCGGGGGTCAGCGCTCACCCGCTGTCAAAATTTGGAGTAAACACCAGTGGTGGAGACTTCGGACCTCATCCTGAGGTGAGTCAGGGACACCCCCAGCCCCAATCTGAAAGCAACGCAGCAGAGCCCAAGGAGGAGAGGGAGGGTGTGCTCGAGGGCCATGACGCTCACAGCCGCGTGCCTGACAACAAGGGTCACACCAAGTTGCTGCAGCTGCTCACCACCAAGCCAGAACCCCTGGAGACGCCGCTGTCCCCCGGCGCAGGAGTGGAGGGGAAGGAGCTGGCCGGAGCAGGGGTCCGAGGCGGCCACGCAGCAGGGAGCACTCACGGAACATCCCTCAAAGAAAAACACAAAATCCTCCACCAGCTGCTGCAGAACAGCACGTCCCCCGTAGACCTGGCCAAACTCACCGCTGAGGCCACCGGCAAAGAACTGGGCCAGGACCAGTTACAGGGGGCTGGCAGCACAGCGTCCGGGGTGGAAATAACTCCCAAGCAGGAGCCGCTGAGCCCTAAGAAGAAGGACAACGCGCTGCTGCGCTATCTACTGGATAAGGATGACACTGTACTGAAGGACAAGGTCCCTAAGCTGGAGCCCGGGGAAGTGAAGGTCGAAGAGGTCAAACCCTCAACGGTCAAGGTGGAGAAGCAAGACCCAGGCTACGACCACGTGGAGCAGGTGAGTGTCTGCTAGATGCTTTCTTTCTGTTTGAGGAAAACTATTTTAGTTTGTTGTGAAAAGCAGAAGTTTAGCCTCCTGCTGCTCCGTGGAGCTGTAATCTGGGTTAGGCTAGCAGATGCCCCCACGCCGCTGCAGGATTTCTGATTCAAACGTACAAATAGGTGATGCTGGGGAGCAGAGGAAATTACGCCATTTAAATTCACAGCCTTGTCATTTCCTCAGAATTCATTGAGCGTGTTTTATTATCAAGGTGTATAAACACATCTGGTCCTTTCACCGCCTTTGTGTTAGCAGCACAAGCCGAGGGAGTCGATCTGCCAGCTTCAAACAACTGTGACATTTGGAAGGAGCCCCTGTGGTTCTCCAGCCATTTGATCCCAGTTGCATTTGGCCGGAGTCCTCTGGTTTGGCACTGAGCTCAAGGCTGGAAGACCGAAACGAGTAAAAAGGGAGCGAGCAAGGAGAGCGTCGCTGGTGAAACTCCACATTTCTGTGCAGCAACAGGGCCGGGCCTTAAAACCGGCCTGCCGATGCCCCGATACAGGAAACGCGCTCTAGTCCACACAGTGGAGACAAAAATCTGCAAATGCCATTAAGTTGTAGAGGACTAATCCACAGAATTTCACTCGTTACCCGTGCACGCCGTTTAAAATACGAGCAGCTTCATGCAGCAGCCGCGCTTTTGTGTACACGAGGAAAGACGAGAGGAAAATGTAATTTGTTGGATAACTGAGGAAGGTGTAGATACCCCCAGGAGAGCCCGGCCTCGGCATGCAGAGTGAAAATGATGAGCCATATGCTCCTGCATGTCCTCTCCGCTGCCATGGAGATGGTGAAGAGAGGGAGAGGAAGTGCCGAGCTAGAGCGAGGCAAATGGGGAAAAGAAAGGAAGGTTTAATATGCGTACCTTAGGGCTGGAGGTTTAGAAACGATGTAACAAGATGAAACCCAAGAATCAAATGCTTTTTTGTTGAATTTGGAGCTTCACACGGAGACGGTGATTAAATCAGTCGTTTGTACGATCGGCGGCGGCTCATTCCTGTCTCACAGATTTCATTAATGAGAAAAATGGCATTTGTTAGACACGCACTAAGCCGTGACTGCATTAGAGTCATTGTGTGTGTGTGTGTGTGTGTGTGTGTGTGTGTGTGTGTGTGTGTGTGTGTGTGTGTGCGTGTGCGCGTGCGTGCGTGTGTGTGTGTGTGTGTGTGTGTGTGTGTGTTGACCATGTGTGAAGACTGACTGCCAGTTAAAGAGCCGCCTCCTCCCCCTGCTAACCTCTCCCATCGCTTTCTCCCTCTCTGGCTCCTCCTCGTGATCGTTCCATAGCTGAATTATTGATGTCGGGGGGGCAGAGCTAAACGAGAAATCAAATCTCAGCAGAGTTATGGGCACGGACGGCGATTAGACCTACCATCGGCGGAACCATCCAGGCTTGTTGTCTTTCCACGACGATGATCGCTGTTAATCAGCAAAACTCTGCTCCTTAATTTAAGCATCTCATTCACTATCCCTTTGCCATCTGCCGGCCCTGACAAGTGTGCCGTCCAATCTGCCAGGAGCTTGTATCTTCACTCTCCATATGCTGGCTCACCAGAAGCAGCCGCGGCCGCAGCATCCGGCTGTTTCACATTCCAGCTCTGTGGCACCTGCCAGAGAAGATCTGCTGTGACACTCTGGCGTGTCTCTCTTCTCACACTCATTCTCCTTTTTCTAAGTTTATCTTACGATTTTATTCTTGAGACAGAGGTGTGTAGGACCAGCTCTGTGTCTTCATGCAGCCAGATTTACAAATCGGTGCCCATATTTTGCTAACCTGCTGTCTTTACCACTCAGAGGAAAAACAAACGTCTTAAAATTGAGAAATTGGTTTTTTTTTTTTTCCTTTTGTTAAATGTTGACAAAAACGTTTACAGAATAAAGGTAAAAAATATTAAAGTCAGAAAATTAAACTCAAAATTAGGGATTAAATAAAAAGTATAGAATAAAAAGGATAAAGTCAAAACTGTCTGTACCTGTTCAGGGTTTTTTGTTTCAACAAGGAGTCAAAGGCGTGCTTTAACCGCAGAATGAAAACAGGACGCGTTTTTCTAGAACCATTCTATCAATCTTTCACAATAAAAGCCCCAAAATACATAGAGCTGTTTCTCTAATGTTATTTTTGAAGGCTGGTTGCGTGACAGAATAAAAGTTAAGTTTAAAGGGGCATTATGGAAGTTTGACAGCCAAAACATGTATAGAAATAATAAATGTCTTCTTCATACATTCTCCTGCAATGCCCTGGTCCTGTAGAATGAGCCCTGGCATTTTTACTGTGATTGCCTGTTTTTCTGTAAAATCACAGAAAAAGAGAGATGCTCGGGTCGAGCTCGCTGCTTCATGCGCGTTCACGCTCAGGCATAGCCCGTAGCATTTGCTATCCGTAGCTTTAGTCTTTGTCGCTGTTCCTAACGCCTAGTGACAAAGCTAGCTACATTTCTGAGAACACTTAGCTACTTTCTGTAGAACTTTCTTCAAGATTTTTCCTGCAAATTAGCAACAAAATAGCCATTTTCGCTCTGAACTGTTCTTTGGTTTGACGTTGTTTCAGGTGTCATCAAGTATATAAAAGTTACAGATGCTTCGAACGTTACTGGTGCTTTAGCTCACCTAGTAAGATTTCTGACTCTCGTGTAGAAGACCTGGGTTCCATTCTGGATGTGAACATAGTTTTTTTAGAGTTTCTTTTTTACATTAATGGTATATTTTTTTTACAGTAAGATGCCCACATTTTTGTTTGAGACTCGCCGAACGGCATTGAATTCACAGATAAAAAAGATGTGGGTTCAACTTTCATTTTGGAACAATTTTTCAAGCAAGGGAAGGGAATGATCTGAGCATGCAGGAGGACTGACCCATCATAAACCTTTGTCGGCCGTGCTGAAGAGAAAGGTACAGAACCAAATTATTTAATTTATTAGCTGCGCGTTCTTCTGTCCACCGGGCCGCTCACACACACACACACACACATACGGGACTGTCTCAGCTGTTATTTTCGTTAAGGAGTGTGCACGTACAGCATGCGTGCCTCGTGCACGAGCCTACTATTGAAGCTGCCGTTATGCTTTTGGCCTGAGGGGGCAATTGCGAGCATAAAAATTCAAAACTCCGTAAAGTCCCTTTAATTAGAACGGCTGTGATTTGTGCAGTTTTACTGTTGAAAATAAGTTTAAAAGTTCACAGAAAAACCATTTTCAAAGATTATTTCTGATCTACATTCCTACCCTCACCTATGGTCACAAGCTTTGGGTAATGAGAACCCACGTATCACGGATACAAGCGGCCGAAATGAGTTTTCTCCACAGCGTGGCTGGGCTCCAGAGTCGTTTTAAGTGGTTGCAGTAACCGAATTTTACCACACGATGTAGTTTTTACTTCATTTCACATAATGCTCCTTTAACATTCATGAACTCACCCATCGTGACTCATGACGGGGAATGCTGTTGTTGGTTTAGTGTCTAAGAAACAGTGAAGAACATCTCAGCTAGAAGAAGCTACCCATTAGCATTAGCAACTCCACAACACAGCAGAACTCCATGCTTGAGTTATTTGTGGAGATATGTTGTGATTTGAAGTTTGTATATTTATATACTGCAATTAAATAACGTCTACGTTGCAAAGTAAACCCAGTTATTGGTAATTCACGTTGCTGTTAGCCAATCAGAGGCGAGATGTCCAAATATCAGGAAATAAAACTCCAAATCCTGTCGCGTTCAGCTCTCCTCTGATGTGACATTCTGCTACTTCCTGACACAACCACATCTGCGCACTTCTAAAAAATAAGAAAACAGTTTTTCAATTTACTCTGTTTTTAAGGAGTAATTCAATAACTTTTTTTGATAATTAGTTACTTTTGTAATATTGTAACTCACAAACTAACTGTTTTTGTAGAAGTAATTAGTAACTATAGCCCATTTTTCATGACACACCATGCCGGCAAATCGGCGTAATATTATCGCAACGATGTGTCTTATAAACGCACCATGCCGGCATGGCGTTGTGCGAATTTTGCTGCATTCGTTTCACTGCGGTTTGTAAATAAATAAGATTTAAACTTTATATTTTTTACGTGTTTGATGTCTGTTTTTTATCTGGTAAAGGCCAGCAGGCTTTTAGGGTTACGGTGACTTTTTATTAGTCCTTACTTAACAAAGGCACTTCTGCTTTCTCACTCGGTTCTCTCTGTTCCCTTCCTGGTAAAACAGCACAAACGAGCCTGACCAGTAAAAGCACAAACTCTGTTTTCCTCGAGTCCACGCTTCTACTACTACATTCTCTCCTGTTTGCATGCAAGCGTCTCCAAGTTGCTTCTGTGTCAGACATGCTCCAGATGTAGGACACATCAGCAGCTGACGGCTCATTCCTGCAGGACTGGGTGCATAAAGCATGGGCGTGCCCCGCTACCTGAGAACAAGAAATTAGAAAATATGCAGGATGTGTGAACAAAATGCATGCGTCATTGCTGCTTTGCAAAGAAATCTCCAATTCATTTGGGGAAAAAAAAGATCAGTTTGACAGTATTTTTGCCTCAAGATGCCCACGTAGTGAGATAGAGAGAAGATGTGTTGCATGCACAGGCATGCACTTAAAGGGGCGAGTTAAAAGGATTGATAGAAACTGGAGCCATTAGGAGTAAAAGCAACTAGAAGAGAGGAGAAAAAATGGAAGTGGGAGGAGAAAATCAGAGGAGGAGAAGATCAGAGGAGGAGGAGGAAGAAACTGAGTGTACAGAAGCATTACATCACTCCTGACCTCATTAGGGCTTTTCTCTCCCACCCCTCACTCCGGTCCTCTCTCTAGGTCTCCTACGTACTCGCCCTGCTCGTCTGCTCCGAGCGTTATCAGCAGCCGCTGCATGGTTAATATGAGGACAAATCTCGGTGGATGAGTCTACATAAGCAGGCATGACCATGGCAGAGGTCCTTGAGTTCTCCTGATAAAGCAGACATTCTCTGGCAGCCTTGTTATCTTTAACAGACGCGTGTCGTTGTCAGGGAAGATTGAAACGCAGCACAGGGGGATGCTGGTGTGCTCCTGTACAGTTTGTCACGATCAGAGCGTGTGTCATTCCAGGAGCGCTGCACTCTGCTGGACGCTTGCAGGCACTGCAACTTATTTACCTGGAGTCCCTCAGGCTTCTGTTAGTAAACACAGCAGCTGCTCAGCACTGATTGGTATCTTGTAGAGTGAAATTCAGTTTGATGAAATGATCAAATTAAATATTTGAGGCAGGATTGAGGAGAATGGGTGGTATTAGGAGACATCCTAAGTTCCATCTGGGTTTTTACTTTCCTGCTTGTCCCTGCAGTCGTCGGAGCTGGACGACATCCTGAACGACCTGCAGAGCGCGCAGCCTCAGCTGTTCTGCGAGCAGCGGCCGGTTTCGTTGCCCAGTCCCATGGACAAACAGAACATCATCAACGACATCCTGCAGATGTCCGAGGCCGTCCCTGCTATGGCGGCGCAGCAACAGCACAGAGGCATGGCGGCTAACATGGTCCCGGCTGGTAAGTAGAAGAATAAAAGAATAAACGTACGAATTGAGGCGTTTGGCTGAGTCCTCTTTCTTCCTGACATCAGGGTTTGGGGGCGTCCGGCAGGGTCCGCCAGGCAGGGGTCTGCCTGTGAGGAGCGTGTCTCTGGACATGAACATGTCCCCCCAGCATCCCCCGTTACAGTACCCCCTAAGGGCTTCAAGCCCCTACACTCTAATGCAGCAGCAGCAGCAGCAGCAGCAAGGCATGATGGGAAGTCACGGGATGATGCCTAACCAAGCTGGAATGCTCAACGCAGGTGGGTGTTATGATCTGATTGTTCTAAAAACCTTTTTTCTGCAACATGATTCTCAAATTCTGTTTGACTCTTGTGTCGGCTGAGGAGTCTCTCACCCGAACGCATCACATCATGACACAATGACTCACTTCCTGTGACAGGAAGCAGTCACCCACACAGGCACAAAGTTTTTCTCAGTCTCTCTAGCACATCAGTACTCCTAAGGCAACTTACAGAACAAACACACACACATCCCTCGCATTGACCCCGTCTCGCTTTTGTAGGGCTGATGGCTCCGGGGGGCCCACGACCGGGCATGCAGCAGCAGCAGGAGAACTGGGTGGCTTCTCCAATGGGAGCGTCCGCCCCTGGACAGCAAAACGCCATGCAGGTCAGACTGGGGCCCAACGGCGCTCCCATGAGGCCGGGCAGCCAGCCGGGGCCTCGCCCCATCCTCCAGACCCCAATGATGGCCAACGGTGAGATCATTTAAAGCAGAACTCAAATTTAAAACGAACAAAAGTAAACGACCCTTCTGTTGCTCATGTGAAGGAGGAAAGGTAGAATTACATGAATACTGTTCACCGTGACCTCAGATGGTGGGAGGTGCAGCAGAGACCTCAGCTCACCCGCATATTTACCAGCCCCTCTTATTGTAAACGATGCCCCCTCGTGGTTAGTCGCAGCATCGCAGGCGACTTAGTGACTACTATTTTCAGAGAAATCTGACAAATAATCAAGTTTTACTGCATTTTCATTTCTCTAATACGTAAGTCTATGTTTCCTGTCTCAGCGCCGCCTGATATGAACATCGGTATGGTGGAACACCATTTCTCCCAGCCACAGGCTCCGCCCAATCAGACAGCTCCTTGGCCAGACAGCATGATGCCCATCGACCAGACGGCGTTTGTGAACCAGAGCAGGTGAGTTCTGAGAAGCGTTTACCGATTGTTGTGGGAGTTTTTGTCACAGATTTGAAGTGGGAATGAATCCCGGTTGTCTCTTTTCCTCAGAGCTGCGCTCCAGGATGAACTCCCTGACGGGAGCTCGGTGGACGAAGGGGTCCTGATGTCCCAGCTCTACACAGCTCTAAAAGACTTTGATGGTCTCGAGGAAATCGATCGTGCTCTCGGGATCCCTGCCTTGGTGGAGCAGGTGACCATTCCCATCATGCATCACATTTATTTCAGGACTTCTAGATTTGATTGTAAGTGCTGTTTCTGTGGCTTCCTGTTCCAGAGCCAGTCCCTGGAGCCAGACCAGTTCCCCCAGGACCCCTCTATGATGTTAGACCAGAAGCCACCAGTGTACGCGCAGCAGTTTGGCCCGCCGCCATCCCACATGACACCAAGGGGCTTCCCTGCGCCGCCCATGCAGGAGCCCGGGTTTCACCCTATGTCGGGTCAGATGGGCCCACGGTCGGGTTACCCCATGATGAGGATGCCGCCACGGCCAGGACTCAGGCCGGGCGCGGTGCCCCCCAACCAGCCAAATGCACTACGGCTGCAGCTCCAGCACCGGCTACAGTCTCAGCAGGTACACGATGCAGCTAGAGCACCCTGACACGACCGCTCATTGACTCCTGACTGATGCAACCGCTGGATTTTAACTTTTGCACTGAACTCACAGATAGGAGTTGTGCAACAGACCTTGAGGTTGATCATTTGCACACTTTTGACCTTAGCGGGCGAGCAGTCGTGTAATGCCATATTTATATGTTGCTTTTTATGAGACTGTTGCTAATCTTGTGTGGAAGAGTGCGCTGTGGCTCTTGGTAGTCGTTTATCGGACGTCATGAAGACAATGAGTGAAGAACAAAAGAGAACGCTCCCTAAACAAGCAGGCTTTGGTGAAACCGGTGAGGGAATCCATCAGGTTTGGAGCTCTAGAGCTTCAGCCCGTCCAGCATCTCTTTACAAATGGAGCGCTGTGATTGGCCAGCCTAAACTGACACCAAGCCAATGGTAGACCTGCTGAAGCTACAGTGGAGCGTGGCTTAGTCTAGATTTCTTGGCTAGCAGTTTGATCCTTCTTGTGATTTTTAAAGATTTATTTATTTTTTTTAAAGATTATTTTGTACAAAATGTCCAACTGAGAATATCCTAAACTGTCTAAATCTTTCAAATGAGCTCTTTGGTTCAACTAATCATCCAAACACGGTTGTTTTTGTCTTCTCTCGCTGCTCTCGGATGAACCGGATTGTTTTCTTATTTTTGAGGAACTTTTCACTTCTCCTACATTCTGAAGAAAACAGGAAGTGCTCTTTGGGTCCTGGATAGCAGAGAACCACTCAGAGGACATTCTGGGTGTCTAAAGAAGTTTAAAGTCAATTTTTTGTCCCAGCAGAACCGTCAGCCAATGATGACTCAGATGAGTAGTGTGTCAAATGTGAACCTACCTCTACGAGCCAACGCTCCTACCCAGGTACGTCGTCATACAGCCGTTGTGCACGGATAGGTTGTGTTCTTCCGTTTTCCCCGTTCTTGACCCGTCTGCTGCTCCGTAGGGAACCATCAATGCCCGGATGTTGGCTCAGCGTCAGCGCGAGCTGCTGAGTAATCACCTGAGGCAGAGGCAGCAGGTGCAGCAGCAGCAGCAGCAGAGGAGCATGGCCATGAGGCCCAACCTGCCTCCCAACATGACTAACCCCAGAAATCCTCAGGCAACCCCCCAGCAGTTCCCCTACCCGCCCAGCTACGGTACCAGTACAGGCCTGCCCTCGTCACCTCCCCCCACCAACTCCTTCTCCTCCCCTCTCTCCCCAAGCCTACCCCCCAACCCTCAGCTCCACCTGCATGGCACCTCCTCCTCTTCCTCCACCTCCTCCTCACAGATGATGATGGGAAACACAAACATGATGGGCGGACAGTACGGGGCCGTACTCAGCCCCCAAATGCAGCACAGTGCCTTTCAGTTTCCCAACTCAGGTACTGCTCCCACCCCCAGCCCAGCACACTCTGTGTGTGTGTGTCCATGTGTGTCCTTTGTGTGTAGCTGCACAGTAAATCATGTGTTGGTGATTACATTCATAAAAATCTTTCAATCAACATTTTTTCCTCATAAATTGGTCAAATAGTTTCACTTAACCCTCTTATTACCAACCAGTCGCCGCCGACAGGATTTTAACGTGCGCACTTCTCATTACCATAATTCATGAACCGTTCAAGATGGCTGTAAAATTCCAAAAGTGCTGAAAAGATTGAAAACAAGGCTTTTCGTACGTATACAGTACATCATGGTAGCCAGCGGGATTCCCTGTTGAGCTCAACGAATCCCAACGCTGATTCAGAGACGTGCTGAGTTGGTTATCCAAAATCCTCCGTTTTATAACTTTTGAATGGCTGATCAGATTAAAAACATTCCAACGGTTCCTAAAAGTACATAAAAGCAGCTTTCCAGTGATCTATAGCATGAAGCAATTAGAGGTATAGCAAATATCGCTACGAGAGGAAATCCTGCTGTACAGCGCAGCGCCGCGGTGGAAGCGGATAACGGAACGGGGAAGCTAATTAGCATTAAAAGATGGCATGAAATTACGGAAATGCGTCAAAGAAAATCAACGCGATCTATTAGGTGTCCCAGAAGGCTTAGTGACCACGAAAGAAGGACAGATCTCCAGTGAACCAGGGTATGAATGTTTGTTCAGTCTATTTTTTTATTTTTTTATTTGAACAACCCTCAACTTTTTGCTAATTGTAAGATTCAGCTTCATTCCAGCATTATTTATCTTTTTACAATAAATAATTATTTTTGCTAAAACAAAAGTTTTTGGTATAGCAGTAAATTATTATAAGTAAATTATATTTATTATTTGCAGGGACTCTGTCTGCAGCTGGAGAGAAACTGCTTCAAGGACCACCACATCAAATAAAAATGTCTGAAAAATTATAAAAATAAATGAATGGTCTTAAAAACTGCTAAAAAAGATACCAAGGTTCACACTTTTTAAGAATAGATGCATTACGGTTCAAAGTTTAAATTGTTCATTCCAAATTGTTTCCCCAAGTCATTTAGAAGTTCCTGTTCAGTAATAAATGTAAAAAATTCTAATCCGTTTTTTGCTTTTTTCACTTTTAAGCTGATTTTTTAAAGGCTTTAATAGAAATAAATTCTAAATACAAACCATGCACTGAAAGCTGAGGTTGTTCTGAAAAAAGGAGAAGTTACACACACTTTGCACTTTTTATTACAATTTTACAGCCATAAGATAAAAAAAAAAATTCCAGGTGGCCCTGTTGTAATTATGGTCATAAGAGGGTTAAATGTAACATGTTTTCTGATGGTACATTTTCCTCCACTAGAGGGCAGAAAAAGCACAAAAATCAAATATAAACGCCACACTCATGACAGTAACTTCTGTTATTTTTCTGTCAGAGCTGATTCTTTTGTGTGTTTTCGGTTTGAAAAACATTAAAATAATAATTTATAGCTATTGTCTTCACTTTCATCTGCTCCTTTCCTGTTTCATGGTTTCAGAGCATGTAGGAAGTACTGCCTGTCTGTAAATAACCCCGAATGCTGCTTCTAGTTTCTGTTTGATCCTGGTGTGCTTTTGTTTTTCACTCAGAAGCCACCCTCTCTGCTTTCGTCCAGCATTTCTGTCTGTAAATCCTGTTTCCAGACCGAGTCTGCTTGACGTGTTTTTGATGCGTCCCGTGCAGGTATGAGCCAACAGTCAGAAGGAGGTTTCGGAGGAAGCAGCACGCCTCAGAGCCCTCTGCTTTCCCCTCGCATGGCCCACACTCAGTCCCCTATGATCCAACAGGGCCAGCAGAACGCTGCTTTTCAGGGCTCCCCCGACATGAACGGCTGGCCACAGGGCAACATGGGTGGCAGCAGGTAATCCCAGGAATAGAAACGTGGTCCGAGAGGCTTTTGGAGATTCGTTTTTAGTCAAAATAATTTTTCAAAACAAATCTGGTAACAAAGGACTTCAATTAGGCTTTTTACAGGTCAGAACAAAAGCTTTTAATTTGAAAATCCAAGAAACAAAATCAGCTTTTCAAATTATTTTGCTCCCCTTTGAGCAGATAAAACAGCTGTTTTGTTGCTAGCTCACATTGGAAATGTCATAAACATGACAGGTTGACATTTTTCTACTGTTGTCATAGAGACACGTCTCCAGCAGCACCATCCAGTCTTCCAAAAGCCTCCGTTCGCTGGAGTTGTGCACAAAAACAAAGCTGATGCTGTGATTTAAAATCGCATTTCCACTCCTCTCTCCTCAGTATGTTTCCGCAGCAGCAGACGTCGCCACAGTTCACGCAGCAGAGCAGCAGCAGCATGTACAACGGCGGCACCATGAGCCTGAACGCCGTCTCCATGGGCAGCAACATGGCGCCCAGCAGCATGGGCCAGATGACTGGACAGATGAGCGTTACGTCCATGGCGTCGGGGTCTTCGCCCGGCCTGCCCTCCATGGGACAAGAGCAGGTAAATAGAAACGTGTGTGTGTGTGTTTTGTGAGGCTCTAAGTGTTTAGCTTCACTTGCTGGTGAGTAATTTACTCAGCAACTTGCGTAACTCCTCAGAGCTCCGACTTACTGCACAATGACATAATCGGCTCATCTAGTCCCACTTTCATCGCCGACTGCAGGAAAACTTTCCTCCTGCTGAACTCGCCCTCCGTCGTTGACCAGCATGCTTTTAGGCCACGAAACACTCATGAATATTTAATCACTGTGCTGCTGTTTGATCATCTGCTCTACAGTATATCTGTCATGAATTTACACCCCCCCCCCCCCCTCCCAACCTTTATAGAAGAATATTGCCACTTAGATTATTTCAATTATTTACCGTTTGCCCATTAGTGAGCGTGTTTGTGATTTATTGCTGTTTTTTGTGTTAAACCTGGCGCGCTTCAAGATGCCGTAACACAAGTTTCTGATTTACTCCCAGTAAGTTCAAGTTGGCCAACTTAAAGGTGCAATATGTAGGAATTTTACAGTGAAATAATCACAAAACAGGCTAAAGTCTCAATCATGTTGGAAGGAAGGTTACATCAAACAGCCGGCTGGGAAGGGTGTCACTTTTTCCTCCTTTTAAAAAAGCCAAAGAGGGACGTAGTCTTTGTTTACACGAGGTGTGCTTCCATTGTCTGAACTTCAGGGAAGTTTCTGGGGGCGCAGAATTGACCTGGAGATACGATGGCCCAGTCCTCTCAGCTGTGGTGTCTTCATACAAAAATTAACCCTTTTAGGACTTTGATAAATCGTCAGCATGTCGCAACTGCTTCAGCAGTGAGTGATGTCACCAAACAGCGTCCTAAGACATTAATAACATTCAAATTTATATTCTGTCAAAGCATGTTACAATTTAATTCATTTGGAGGACTGGTAGAGCAGATTTGTGATGCAAATTGTGGCGTTCAATGACCAGAAGCACAGTCGTTTTTATGGTGCTCTGTGAGACAACGAAGCCCCGTGAATGTCATTGACGTCGGGGAATGCCGCTACGTTTTTTTTTTACCGTTGGGAGTTTGGTAACGGTTATTTCCAAGCAACGCTAATTCTGATTATTTGCTTTTCCTTCCGTTCTGTTTGACCAGCAACTCTTCTAATTTTACTATTATTGGTTGTTTGGCGACTTGTACTGATGTCATTTCCCACCCAGTTAGAACCAATCGGTGTGAATTAGCCACAAGTTCTGCTCAGCAAGGCTTTTTCATGTACTTACCCCTGTTCAGGTACTCCATTGTTTCCTGAAACTGTCCGTTCGGCCGGCCTGGTGAAATGGAATGGTGAAACACGCGCATGCCAGGAAGTTCCTGTACAATTACATTTAAGTTCCGATAGTGGAAACACGCCTGTTCTGTCCCACCTCACACTTCCTGGTTCCAGATTTGAGCCTCCCGGGTTTCCCATGTCTGCGCCGTTATTTGTAATCCGACACTGGCTGGTGAAGAGCAGCAGCATTGTGGAAAGCATGTGAGCCAGTAGCAGGAGCGACCCAGAAGTTGTTTCTTGTACCCTTAAGGAGCCACGCCATCTTTTGTTATTGGGTAAAGATAGAGGCTAACTTTGAGCTAACAATGCTAACGGTGAAATAGAAAAAATAGTCGGCTCTACAAATATCTTAAGCTACTTTTTCAATTACCAACGAATTGATATTACAGTGAAATGTATTTACGTATCAGCTTACCGTGTGTGACTCGTTTTCGCTCATTATCTAGAATCTTCTGCCGCTGAGCGATGACTAGCAGCAGCTGCTCAGAGCACACTCACTGGTTTTGATACATGGACTGCAGTACCCACATCTGACCACAGAATGTCATTGTTGCGTCACGCACCTTTAATATTTTTGCCTTTTCTTCTTTTTTAACAGAAATACTGTTGACCCTCCGGAAGCCTTTTAACATCAACCTCAAAGATCAGCTGGTGCGAGGAGCGCGTCGACCCTTTAAGAATCAGAAATGCAAGCCACCCGACTGCCCCTTGAACCAGCCGGGTCGTGCCCTGACCTCCCCCTCCTCACCCTCCTATCCACCCACCCCCATAGCGTATTCGGGAGTGTGTAGTAGGCCGGGGACGGACCTCTGCCCATTTCGCCTCCTGGTGGAAAGCCCGGCGCTGATCCGCCGACCTGCCTGTCCAGCCGCATTCACCGTAGTGTGACTTACTGTCGGCCTCCTGGAGGGGGACACGAACCGGGCGGCGCCGGCTGTTGGATCTTTGTTCTGATGAATGTATTCCTCTCAGTGGACCGCGGCCATTTACAATCTCATCTCAGAAGCAGTGATCCGGTTTCTCCTTTTGCTTCGTTTGTGACATTTTCATAAAGTTTTAGAAGAGACGGCAGCGAAGACTCCCAGGTTCTTTTCGGAATCACGGATGGAGATCAGACGGTCATTTTTTATTTTTATTTTTTTCATTTTAACATTTTAGTTTTCTTGTGACGATTATGACGTAGAGCAGAGGAACTGTCGGAAAAACAAACAAACTGATGTGGCTAAACACTGCAGAAGAACGCTTTGAGTGGATTAGACTAATATAGACATGAGGTTTAAATAGTGTATTAAATTAAGTTTTATTTTTCTGTATAGATTCATTTGAATTATTGTAGATGATTCTTTATCCTCGTAGCAAGAAGACTATTCCTAAAAGTGTTAAAAAAGAGGCACTTTTTAATGATTTTTAACAGTAACGGTTGTTTTCTCTCTGAGAAAATTCTTCTATTAACCTGAGTTATGGATTATACTTTGGTCCGGTTGTTTCAGAAAATCAAATATGGTTTAAAGTGAATTACAGAGATTGTACATACGCATAAGTAAAGAGTTTTCTTTTTTATTTATTTGGGTTTATTTTGTCCTCCCACCCTGGTCAACACTGCCTCTTGAAGCAGAGCAGTCTTTGGGAACCCCGATGTTCTGGTACGACGCAGACGTGGGGGAGTCCGTGGGAGGGTTGTAAACGGGGTGTGCTGTGTATACAGTGTACAGATTATGGCTTGCTTTCTCTGCCTTTAGCGTAGAACACAAAAAAAGTTATAAAAAAAATCTCTACACAGCCATACGGTAACTCAAAACGTATAAAAATTGTGCTTTCTTCGTCGTCTGGAGTGAAAAATGCTTCATACAAGCTGCTAGGTGCAAACTGTTCTGGTGTGATGTAAACAAGCAATAATTACTTGAGAATTTCTGTTTTTTCTTTTTGCTATTTTTTGTACAGTTTCCTGAATTTGAAAAAAAGAGGACATTTGATTTTGCGCTGCGATTGGATGCAGTATTAAACACGTCTAGAATCCACAGACGCGGCGTTGGATGGTGCAGCTGAGACCTGGAGAGGGAGGTCGCTTATTTCCTCCCTCTCCACTTCCTCCAGCCTCTCTTCTATTGCAGAGGTCAGAGTTCACCGGGCCTACTCTGACACACTCTTAGCCATATTTTATGACCTCAGGCACTTTGTTTAACGCTAAAGTGTTCGGTAATGACGCGCCGCTGTCGTGGCGGTGCGGGTCATCCTCGCTAACCTCACAAAAAAAGAGAAAAAAAACTTTTATAGTAGCTATTTTAACCAGGAGAAGCCAAATAATCCTCATGTTTCAATTGGATTTTCTGAATTCTGTTTCCTCCATGCTGAATAATCTCACTTTCACGATCAGATCCACATTTTTACACAAAAACAAGGCAGGAAACTTCTGATGATGTCACTTAGCAGGAAGGAGAATCTGAATGTATCGTCATTTCAAGGCCTAAAGGATGCGATTAGTGTTATTTTCCTTCCATCCTGGCGATTTGCACGATCGTCTCTGCATCTCTCCACTCGTTGCTGTTTGTTGTTTTTATTTTTGGCGGGGGGGCTTCGGCGACGCTGTAGCAGGTCTGTTTCAGGACAAAGAAAAGGCTGCGCGAGCTCTCCCGCTACCTTTACAGGAGATCGTATATTTTTGATTGTAAAACAATCCACCTGTGCAGGAAAAGGAAAAGAAACAAAGCCTTTTGAGCCATTTTAAAGGATTCACAGCCCTGTTTTTGTTGCAAATTTCCAAAGAAAGATTTTAAAAAGACTTTAAAGCCATGTAGCAGTGAGTTTTCTTTCTTTTTAGCATTTATAATGAGGACCCCTTACAGATATTCAGGCTTTGGACCCACTTAACAAAACTCTATTTTCCCTGTTTATCGTAAAAGCCCTTTTGTATCGCCTGCTGGTTTCTTAGAGCTAAGATGCAACCTTGAAATGCTAACGACCCTAGCATAATGCCTTAGATTTTGTCCGTTCCTTGTACTTGTAAATGAATTCCACTGCTGTCTGTATAAATGTGTATAATGACTGTGTACAGTATTGAATGGGTGCATCGTTATTGTTCAACTCTTCTCAGCTGCTGACGACTCGCCCACCCCACCCCTCCCTGTTCTGTGGTTATTTTGATGGAAAAGAGGACAAACACTGAGATACCGAAGCAATATGTACAATACTACGGCCTTCTCAGAAGAAAGCTCACCGTTGTGATCCCCGCCCTCCTCAGATGTTATTCGGCGTTGTTCACACAGGAGTTGCACTGTATACATGCATCGATCTGATCTTTGTGCCCCAAGTGTGTGTGAATGAGTGTGAGCGTTTTATGCAAAGTTCGATATTCAAGAGAAGTTAAAACCACATTTATGCAAGTTGTGAACTAATATGGCTTCGCTGATGCTATTTGCCTTGTAAATAAAGAATTCTGTTATTGCAATATTTAAACGCGTGACTCTTCTTTCTCATCCACAGAAAAGTTCTGAACTTTTTGATGTTTTTTTTGTTTGTTTTTTGCGTTGAACTGCCCTAAAGCTGTTTAAGTGCTTGAAATGAGCGTAAATGGTTATAAAAAGATAACTTTATGGGTTTTATGAGACAAATATGATATAGAAGATGTATGGGGCTCCAAATCTGAAAGCAACACTTGTTTTATACCAGTAAAGAGCTACATTTGCATTTGTCTTCGACATTAAAGAGCAAGTCACCCCCAAATAAACTTTTTTTTGCTGATAAACTAAATAAACGAGTGTCTAATCGTGCTACAGACACGTGTCGTCAATAATTTGGCACTTCAGCGCATCTTAGTTCAAATTTACATATTCTGCCTGAAACTGGCAGTGTTGTGCCGTTGTCAGGTAAAAGCTCTGCACTGTATTCTAATTTAAATCTGCCACCGCTATTGGCTAAGCGGTATGCTATGATGTAAAATGGTGCATTATGATGTCACAATGCTGTCGTGAGCCTGTGTGTGTGTGTGTGTGTGTGTGTTTGTTAGCAGCTCCGCCCTCTCGGTCTGCCAGGCAACAGTATTTGTTGCATTTTTCAAACATGAAGTGGGAGTGGAGTTAGAATCTGGTAGGGGAAGACTTGCTCTTTAAGTATTTAATCTGATGTAATAATATTGTAATATGATAGAAATGTATTCAAACATTCCTAGATTTTAGTTGTTTTTATTTGATGTTTTTATTTTCATGTCATTCAGTTTATGCTTCAGTAAAGACCAAAATGTGCTGCTTTGACCAGTACTCTAAAGGGTTAATCACTTCAGAACTCCTGTTAAACATTAATGTTACATTATTCCACAAAACATGTTGCAAATATTTTGTTTAGAAGTTTTCAGAACTTCTTGAAGTTCTGGACTGTTTGAATCTGCATAAGTAATTCTAATTTGATTTAAAAAATTTACATAACTTATTTAATTTTGGCTTTTAAAAAATAAGTAAAAATGTATTTGTTTTTCCACTTTTGTACAACTTTGTTTAAGCCGGTATGACCTTAAAGGAACTGTTTATAAGAATTCCCAAAAGATTGATGCTTTTTATAATCTCATAATTTTCTTATTTATTTTATGTGGGAAAAAATTCCTCTCTGAACCTGCAAAAAAGGGCATCCAGACTTCAAAAAGATGCAAAAATTACTCTGATCATTTATTTTATTTGTTCTATTCAAAATAAATTCAAAAATAAGCATATTAGAAAAACTCAGAATGCACAAATGAGTTTCGATTCACATCAACAGCCTACTGAAGAAAAATTCATCAAGAGATGCAAGTAGGGGGACCGCAGAAAATCACTCTTGAGAGCCGCAAATGGCCCCTGAGCCACAGTGTGGAAGTGTCTGCTGTTGTTCTCAGACAAGTGTCATGTTTTAGATTATAAGAGGTAAAAAATTAAGACGCATTTATTGTTCCAATTAATCCACCAGGCACGTGGTATTTGTTTTGGGGTTTTGTCTCCATGTTTAATTCCAGCTCTTCCTGTTTTTCTGAAGAACCCTTTCAGCAGGCCACAGTGGAGAGGGTGGGCTGTTCCTGGACATCCATTGAGATGCATGAGGTTAGCCCCGGCCAATGGGAGAGAGGAGAGGAATCCGAGAAGCATCTTCATCAGACTTGCTCATGTGAACCCGTTATGCCCTCAGATGACCACACAGACCAACACAGACAGGACGATCGAGACTTCAGATCTACAGACACTAGATTTCATTTATTTTAGTTGGTAACTTTTTTTTTTACATGATGGAGGAAGCTTCCCCCTGAACAGGTTTGGATTTCTTTCAAGAGGTAAGAAAATGTAAATTTTTATGTCTAATGCATAAAAAAGTGCATTTAGGCACGGAGCAGGACGCGTTGCGTCTTTATCTCCTCCCTCTTCTCTCCTTTCCTAAATTATTGTTGTAAAAGTCCATAAAATGCTCCATTAATGCTGACCTCTGCTCTGGCCTGGCTGTTCTCTGATTGGTGTCATGACCCTGGTTTGTCTCTCTATTTACTGGCTGATTGGGAAGCAGTTCCCTTAAAACACACACCATGCTTGAGCCGGGTGATGTGTGTGTGATCTCTCGGCTGGAAATATTGCAAAATTGGCCTTTCTTTTACCCCCCCAGCAGCTGTTCGCTCATAAGTGTGTGGATGTTTCCTGTGACACCCTGCTTCTGTTTTTCTCTCCCTCTAAAGAAAACCTTTCCTGGCTCTGAGCGGTCATGTCTCTCTCCAGCTTCCACCAAGCCGAGCTGCTGAAGGACAGTTCCTCCCGGGGCTTCCTCCCCGGACCCCATCCCTACATCTTCCCCCGGACGCACAGCCTCCTCCCTCACCCGCTCAAGTGTCTGGGCCGGCTGGTGTCGGACACCGCCCTGCCTCTCGGCCTCCACGGCGGTTCTCCTCCGTTCCTGAACCACGCGGTTCTCCCCGAGCACATGCTGTTCCCGTACCACCCGAGCCAGATGTTGCCCGGACACCCGCTGTGCTCCAAGCCGGAGGAGCTGGCCGCCGTGGTGACGGAACACGCAGCCGGTCCGCTGTCCTCGGACTTCAACAGCCCGGCCAGCGACAGGTCCTCCTCCGGATGCTCCTCGGCCAACACCCCGCTCAAGGAGCACCTGTTTCGGACACACGGAGTCCATCTGTCTCCGGAGAAAAAGAGGACAGTTTTTCATTTCAGCGAGGATGACTTGTTTTTGGTGCTTTACGGGTACTCCGGCGGCCAGGAGCGCACTGGTCACGCAATTTCAGGGGTCACCCTTCCGGAAAACTCAAGTGAGTTCAATTAGTCATTCTTTAGTAGCGCCAAATAAACACAATTTGTTAATGATTTTCCTATTTCCTGGTCAGCTTCCGATCCCCACATTCCACCGCTAGACAAAGAATCTCTTGAACTTCCAGAAGGTGAGTTTTTATCCTCCCCATGCCGGGATGGCGTGTCCCAGTCCGAGTATGGGTCTGATCTTTGCCCGTGTTGCAGGATTAATCATCATCCAGGCCGCTTGGGGAAACGCCCCCCACTGTGGAGTGTTCACGGACAAAAGCAGCATTCCCAAAGGCGCGCGTTTCGGACCTTTCCAAGGAAAAGTGGTGAACACCAGCGAGATCAAAACCTATGACGACAACACTTTAATGTGGGAGGTAATGGGGTAACTTTTTGATATATTTTTAATTTTAAACTTCAGATTTCTGATTTAAAAACCAACCCTCCATCCTGCTCCAGGTGTTTGAGAACGGTCGGCTGAGTCACTTTGTGGACGGCAGAGGCGCACCGGGAAACTGGATGTCTTTGGTGAAGTGCGCGCGCTTTCCTGAGGAGCAGAACCTGATCGCGGTGCAGATCCAGGGTCAGATTTTCTACGAGGCCTGCAAAGAGATAATTCCAGGCCAGGAGCTGCTGGTGTGGTACGGAGACTGCTACACACAATTCCTGGGAATCCCGCTCACCCTGAAAGATCCCAACGAGGAAAACAGCGCTGCTCCCTCAGCAGAAGGTCAGAACCCAATCAGCGGATCTCCATATGTGTCTATTTATCATCTCACAATAAATACATTCACACCTGATGTGTCCAGATACTGGAGAGGGCTTCAAGTGTGACAGGTGTGGGAAGGTGTTTGCCTACAAGTACTACAGGGACAAACATCTGAAGTACACACGCTGCGTGGACCAAGGGGACCGGAAGTTCCCCTGTCACCTGTGCAACAGATCGTTCGAGAAGCGGGACAGGCTGCGCATCCACGTTCTCCACGTGCACGAAAAACACAGACCGCACAAGGTGGGACAGGGTGGGTGGTGGCGTGGTGCTGAAAGGACAGCTCCCAGACTAGTCATGTTGTAGAACTAAATGCTTCTTATTTTACTGGATTATTAATGCAAGTTTATTTTGTTGTGACTTCTGCGTTATATAATAAAAACAAATGGAGTTAATTAAATACCCGACTGTAAATATTATAAATAAATTATCAAACAGCCTTGAAAAGGATCAACTTATTGTTTTTCTTTATCAACAGGGGCGTGACTTTAACCGAACAAACGTTTACTCATTTGTAAAATTTTGACTAATTCAAACATTTGTTTTTGAATGTCTCTATGCAGTGTTCGGTGTGTGGAAAGAGCTTCTCTCAGTCTTCCAGCCTGAACAAACACATGCGAGTGCACTCCGGAGAGCGTCCTTACAAGTGTGTCTACTGCAACAAGGTTTGTTCCAATTCTGCTTCATTTAAATATATTTCAGCTTTCCTTTACAAACTTTACATGCAAGAATAAACTTGGTTTTTCTTTGCGAGTATTTTTACAAAATTCATACAAATCTTGAGGTCGGTCACTCTCCATTTTTAGTTTTAACCCTGAAATTTAACATTTTTCACAATTTAACTGCAAACATGCATGAAAACTTGGAAATTTTAAAGCAATGCAGACATTTTGACTTGAAAGAGTGGCTGTTCCAACAAGGGCTGTGCTCCACTTCTGTGTTGTTCTGAAAATAATGCTAATTAGCATAAGTTCTAAATGAAAGGCTGCCCTCATGTATGGGGAAAAGTGTAAGCATTAACAAGCTACATGCAATAATGCCAAAATAAATATTTTGAATAAAATCTAAAATTATAATTTTGAATATTTAGAGTTAAATTTTAATATATAGTTAAACCTACTAATTTAAAACTAAGTTCTTAAAATCTGAATACAAATATGTAGAACCAAGTTAAATAAAATTTAAAATGTGTCTTATTTTTGAAACACAAATACCAAGACGGGAATCTTAAAATATCCTTTCAACTGTTGTAAAACAGAAGTGGCCTCCAAAACAAAAACAGGGTAAAGAGATCACTCTAACATCTCATAGTCTCTTTGATGTTTGTGGGAGCTCATTTTCTGAGGAGAACCCGGACAAATGAACTATTTGCAAATATTCCAATTCTATAGACTCACAACTTTTAATCAACATTAATTTTAATACATTTGAATGTTACCAACATGTTTAGTTTTAAAGCACCATTTTTGTGTCAACATTTAACACATATATACAACTTAATAAATTTGGTGCTAGTTCTAAATTTTGTTTTAACCTAATGTATTTTTTATGATTGTAAATATTTAGAATTACCAGTATTTATCTAAACTTAAATTCAAGTATTGCATATTAATTTCGTATATCAAAAATGTTATTTTAGATATTTAAACATTACTTTTTTTATTACCCTTATCGTGATGAAAAAGCCTACAGCCAGCTTTTCTTGTTATGAAGAGCTAATTGTTAATTTTATTGGTAAATAACTTTTTATATGAGTCCTCAGAGATGCGATGAACAAGTGCTGGTAATTTATATTTATCGTTTATTTAATTATTATTACTCTAATATTCGGAACCTCATACGTTGAATGCGGTTTTTCTACTTTGAAAATCAGGCATGACGTCACATATAAAGTATGAAACGATCATGTTAGGTTCCTAGCTCCTATGATTTATCCAGAACAAGAATAACGTCTACAGAGCTGTTTTTCGTTCCCTCGCACTCAGCGGGCTTTCCTCTCCTTGTTTCACCCTTTAAACCAGTTAAACTCGATAAGTTTCCTTGTTTCACGGTGGTTTTGTTGGCACGAGCCCCTCAGCATTGTTCATCGCGGCAGGCACGCTCCTCCTGACACTTACATGCTGATTATCGCCAGATGTACACCCAGACTTTTGTCCTAGACTATTGCTTTATAATTTATGGTTCTATAATAGGCAGAGTGCTCCCCATTTTCGTTTCTTTTTAATTCGTTTAGTGTTTTGAGTTTTATTTATATTTTTTAAAAAGAAGTTTCCGTCCTATAAAAATGCTGGGGGGGTGGGGGTGGGGGGGGGGTGACGGACAACGAGGAAGAAGACGAAAATAAAAACAACGAAGATTTTTTGTTTGTAGCATTTTTAAGCTAGTCCTAGAACGACGTACGAAGGTTAAGCCTCTTCAAAAGTTATATATATATATATATTTATTCAATTTTATATAAATTTTATTGAATCTGTGTTTTTTAAAAATATATGAAATACCATTTAAAAAGTAAAACAAACACCCCACTTTTTGTTTTTATTCGTGAACCCGCTCCTCTTCAGGCCTTCACAGCCTCCAGCATTCTGCGGACACACATCCGCCAGCACTCCGGCGAGAGGCCCTTCAAGTGCAAACACTGCGGGAAGGCCTTCGCCTCTCACGCCGCCCACGACAGCCACGTCCGCCGGACCCACGCCCGGGACAAGCCGTACCCCTGCGAGCTTTGTGGGGCGTCTTTTCAAGAGGAGCAGGAGCTGAAGTACCATGAGAAAATCCACAAGAGTAGGAAACCATTTAAAATAAGCGATAGAATTTGATTTTTTTAAATCAAACCCATCAAATATCAAAAATACAACTCATACAACTGAAATAATTTCGTAAAATATAATTATGGGTTCTATTTTTGTCTTTTGTGCTTCTCACATGAAAACTTTTATATAAACACTTTTTTTTCTTTTTTGCAGAGAGACAAGTAGAAACCATCCCCATCCAACCTCCTCCAGACACCAGGATCCAAAAATCAGAGAACTGCGGACCAAGCTTCTCTTATCCTGGGTTAACAGTTATAACCTCTGAGTATCGTCCCTGGAACTAGACTTCAGGGGGAAACAGTCATTTTGAATGTTTTTAGACACAAAAAAGATCAAACAATGCTCATGGGATTAAAAGTGGCATTTTGGTGTATAAATCTATTTAAAAGGGGATTTAATAATTTAAGATGTTATGTAAATGTGTTTTGGTGTGTGTTAATTCTGTGGCTTAAAGCTAAAAAACATTATTATTGTTATTAATATTATTATTGCAGCTTTAAAAAAGCAAACATTTCCGGTTTGTGCCCGATTGTCTACATGGGATTTTCTTTATTTATAATGTACATCATTTGTTATGAATGTATGGCAAGCCAAAGTGTCATTTATTCACCGTTTTTCAATAACAAGTAAAAGTAATAAAACAAGAGCATGAAAGAAGCATGTAGTATAGTTTTTCTGTTAACATATTTATTTATTAACCCAGTTATTCTCACTAGAAAGAGTTTCAAGAGGAAATGTTTGATTAAAAAGCAGAATTTAATTAGGTAAATAATTTAGAAAATGCACCAAATCCCTCTATCTTTGGGCACGAGTCCAAACTGAACGTCCGCTGTAAAAGTGAACCAAACCCTGCAGGACTTAATGAATGACAATAGGCTGAAGCTGTAAAGATTCCTTTTGCTTCGCACAAAGGAGCTCGCGTTGACTGACATCTGCCCTCACACTGTCTCCAAGTGTCCCACATGTGTTCAGATCCCATAGATAGGTGAAATCCTCACATGACTGGACTACAGCTCAGGGGTCAGCACCTCGCTGAAGGTTTTACAGCCCCTTTTTCCTTCAAATAGCCAAAATATGAACGCTTGAACAAGTGAAGATCAACCTACATTTGGCCATCTCCTCCCATGTTTACGGCCCCCATAGCCACCATGAAGGGACTCAAAACAAAAACAGGTTACTCCCCTTTGAGGTCTTCCAGGAGGACAAAATAAAGGCAGAAGGAGAATGAGCTGCCAGATCTGAAATACTGAGATAGTTAGCGTGCTGTGCTAAAAGACTGGTTTTACTAGCGCCTCCTCTGATTGGCTGATTTAGGACTCGGCCTTCCAGGAGTGGGAGAATTTTTATTTGGGTCGTTTATACGGATTGATTTCACACTTAACCTCTTGGCAAGTTAACAGGGCCTCTGCGGAGCGATCCGGCTGATCCACTTCTATATTAATGTGATATTAATAATGGCTGAGCTCAGGAGTTCTTCCCCGATGAGAATAAAAACAAGCAAACGGCTGTTGTACTTTGGCACTTTACACCTCTCCACAAAAGTGGTCACAACTAAATGCACAGTTGTGATTAATTAATAATGGTTGATATTAAGAGCAGAGAGCTGCTGCTGAAATATTCTTACAGTTGATGTCCTCTTCCTCGCTGCCTGAGCTGAGTAGTCAACAGCTCTGGATGGATTAGTGTCTATTGATTGTCTAATAGCTGTCAGTGTGTGTGTGTGTGTGTGTGTGTGTGTGTGTGTGTGTGCACTCCAGACAGTGCTCAGACTTTTAGCTGAGTGGACTTATAAACTATAACCACAACAGCTCTTTGTCTGTGGCCCAGCCGCTCTGAAAACCACAGTAAGTGTTAGAAATAAAGAAAAACTTTCATTTTCCTCAATGAAGTCTTTGATTTCTAGTCCTCTCAGACAAAATGGAGCAAATGCTCTCGATAGCTGCCCTTGTGGCTAATTTTTTTGTATAATTTAAGTGCATTTATTATGGAAGAGGATTAGGGCCACATGATTTTTTTATCTGATTTTCATCTCAGAATGCTGACTTTTTTCTGAGAAAATCTGACTTTAATTTTAGAAGTGAGAATTCTGAGATTAAGGTTCGATATATATATTTAAAAAAATCTGAATTCTGAGAGTAAATTCAGACTTCAAAAATAAGGATTCTGAAGTTAAAGTCAGAACTCTGAGTCAAAAGTCAGAATGCCAAGTTTAAAGTCAGTTATATGAAAAAAAAAATCTGAATTCTGAGAATAAAATCAGATGTGTGAGAAATAGTCAGAAATCTGAGATTATAGTCAGAATTCTGAGATTAAATAAATCCGATATATGAAAAAAAATCTGAATTCTGAGAGTAAATTCAAAATTCTGAGAAAAATTGTCAGAATTCTGAGATTAAAGTCAGAATTCCGAGGAAACAAAGTCAGAATTCTGAGATTATAGTCAAATATATGAAAAAAAATCGGGATTCTGACAGTTACAGTAAGTCAGAATTCTGAGAAAAATAGGCAGAATTCTGAGATTATAGTCATATATTTATAAAAACATCTGAATTCCGAGGAAAAGAGTCTAATTTCTGGTGCACAATATGCCTCAGATTGGGAGTGTACCAATGCAGGCATTTGTAACTTGATGTTTCGGAAGCGTGTTCAAAATATTCCTGTAAAATTCTTCTTTAGATCCAGAATTCAACAGCAAAAGTTTTGACTGGAGTTGCTCTTTGGGTCAGAATTCAGCTTAAAACTTCAAAATATTTCATTGTCTAATTTTATTTATGAGTACTCTTTGCCTTCAGGGTGCAGATTTAATCCCAGAAATCTGTAGAACCAGATTAGTCAGTTTTCAGGTTTTTTTCCTGGGTTCAGCTTCTCATTTGCGTCCGACACAAAGAAAGCGTAAAAAATATTTGTTTGTTTTCTACTAATTCCAATTTGAATTTTTCATAACCCCTTTCTTTAATTTACCTATTTTAATCATTTGTGTGTTTTTATTTAGTTATTTTATAGCTTGATGCCCCTTGCAACGTTAGCAAACACAAAAATGGCTACATGCGGTTAATGTAGCAGAAGCGGAGCTAAAATCTGTTTCCAGGAGTAATTCACAGCAGACTTCCAGAGTGTTAACTGGTTGTCCAACTTTGTTTTTATTTTGTTTTTATTTCTCAGAAAAGGTCTTATTTTGAAAATCTCTGTGCTTCCATTGATTTGCCAGGCTTAAATTTCATCCCTGCTTTGTTCATAAACTCAATCATCCCAGAAATATTCCGACGGCGTGTCATCTGTGTGACTTCTACCTTTAAAGAAACACACAAGAAGAGTCTTTTAAGACTGAACAGTCCCACTCTGGCGTGTTCCCCCTCCTCGTGCTGCTTGGAGCTGTTTGTGTTAGTGGCGGAGGATTTCCTCTGGGATCATGAACGGTGCAGCAGGAGACGACACAGAGAGGCTCAGCAGCTTGTGCACTGCAGGCTGAATGAAAGGCAGATCAAACAAACCTCTCCGTGTTGCTCCTCACTATCTTCTAGGTGGGATTGATGAGAGGGGTGGGCAGATGGTCTTATCCTTCTCAGTGGGGGTTGGTGTGAGGTTGCACCAGGAGGGGGGTGTCCCATGGGGCAACATATTTGTGAACACACACACGCGCCGCATACCCCCAACCACCCTCAAAGTAACCCTCTTATAAAATGTTCTGCATCTTCTCTGTTGCCTCTCTCTGAGCTCGGCGGGGTTCTCCTTTGGGGTTGAAGCTCCAGGTCCAGAGGAGTAAATCTGCCTGTGGACATCTTGTATTGTCATTCGAGGTATTAGAAAGTGTTGCAGGGTCCTTCTCCCCGTGCATCACGCTTTACAATAGTTCTCCGAGTGCTTTTTGTGTCTGTATGCACCAGGCTTTTGTACGGATCCAACTGTTATTCCTGTTAAAGCACCACTCTGATGCTTCCTTCCCTCCATGAGACCACGTGGAAAGTTACTCTGATGTCTTAGAAAACAACTAATAGCTTCAGAAGATCTAAAAAGCAGGAGAATTAATGCTGTTTTTTTTTTTTTTTTTTTGCAGAACAAAAAGAAAAAAAGGTTGTCCGTCCTGAGGGAAGGATTTACAACATATGGACACTGTACTCCGGCCACATGCACATCCATGCACACGCAAGGTGACCCCTCAGCCTCCAATGATGTTTGCTGTTAGTCCAGCTAATCCTAACTAAGCTGTCCATTTAGATGGACACTCAGAGGGCTTCACTTATGTAGATGGAGACACTGAGACGGCCGCACACAAATCCATTTCTCTGGTCTCGGTTACTTTCTACACTCTAAGAAATAAAATGTTGAATTTACTTAACCAAGTTACAGTGGTGTGAGAAACTATTTGCCCCCTTCCTGATTTCTTATTCTTTTGCATGTTTGTCACACAAAATGTTTCTGATCATCAAACACATTTAACCATTAGTCAAAACACAAGTAAACACAAAATGCAGTTTTGAAATGATGGTTTTTATTCTTTAGGGAGAGGACAAAACCCAAACCTACATTGCCCTGTGTGAAATAGTAATTGCCCCCCCCCCCCCCTGTTAAAAAATTACCCAACTGTGGTGTTTCACACCTGAGTTCAATTTCTGTAGCAACCCCCAAGCCTGATTACTGTCACACCTGTTTCAATCAAGAAATCAGTTAAATATGAGCTGCCTGACAGAGAAGTAGACCAAAAGCACCTCAAAAGCTAGACATCAGGCCAAGATCCAAAGAAACCGAAGAACAAATGAGAACAAAAGTAATTGAGATCTATCAGTCTGGTAAAGGTTATAAAGCCATTTCCAAAGCTTTGGGACTCCAGCGAACCACAGTGAGAGCCATTATCCTCAAATGGCAACAACATGGAACAGTGGTGAACCTTCCCAGGAGTGGGCGGCCGACCAAAGTTACCCCAAGAGCGCAGAGACAACTCATCCGAGAGGTCACAGAAGACCCCAGGACAACTTCTAAAGACCTGCGGGCCTCACTTGCCTCAATTAAGGTCAGTGTTCACGACTCCACCATAAGAAAGAGGCTGGGCAAAAATGGCCTGCATGGCAGATTTCCGAGACGCAAACCGCTGTTAAGCAAAAAGAACATTAGGGCTCGTCTCAATTTTGCTAAGAAACATCTGAATGATTGCCAAGACTTTTGGGAAAATACCTTGTGGACTGATGAGACAAAAGTTGAACTTTTTGGAAGGCAAATGTCCCGTTAGATCTGGCGTAGAAGTAACACAGCATTTCAGACAAAGAACATCTTACCAACAGTAAAATATGGTGGTGGTAGTGTGATGGTCTGGGGTTGTCTTGCTGCTTCAGGAACTGGAAAGCTTGCTGTGATAAATGGAACCATGAATTCTACTGTCTACCAAAACATCCTGAAGGAGAACGTCCGGCCATCTGTTCATCAACTAAAGCTGAAGCGATCTTGGGTGCTGCAGCAGAACAATGACCCAAAACACACCAGCAAATCCACCTCTGAATGGCTGAAGAACAACAAAATGAAGACTTTGGAGTGGCCTAGTCAAAGTCCTGACCTGAATCCTATAGAGCTCCGGGAGTTGACGTCACTTCTCCCGGCATGCAACAGTTCAAATCGAAACGGCGCCATATTGGCATGCAGAAGCCGGCAGCTGGACTATTTTTGTTATTGTCAGAAAACTCAATCAAACGGGAAATATGGTAGATTCCTGTTGTGCCCCAGGATGCAGAATAGACACGGACGACATAAGGAATGAGCCATCTACAGGATTCCCCAAGATCCGGAGCGCCGCAAACGTTAGATCATTGTAATAAAACACTCTAGTGACCGGGCAAAAATGAAGCTGTGGGATCCCGAGAGTAAAGTTTTTCGCTTATGCAGCGACCGCTTCATATCAGGTACTTAAACCAACGTTTCCTCAACTGTGTATGGTATTTATTTTAAATGCTTTTATTATGATTCTTAGTGGGCTTCCTAGACTTATTTTGGCGTGGCTTTTTCTGTCTTATAACTCATAGCAACAAGTAAACATCACGTAAAACGTTGCCTCGTGAGTTCTGCGTGCTGCCGTTTACGTGTTTTATGATCACAGCAATTAACCGGCTAAGCTGTATTTAATTTTTAAGCAATGGTTGATCAATTGTCAGATCACACATAAAAAGCACTTTGGATTGCTATTATCTGTCTCACCGAGACTACTTACGTGTAAATCTGTTATTTGTCCGTCCATCCATCCATTTTCATCCGCGTATCCGGAATCGGGTTGCGGGGGCAGTAGCGTGACTTCCCTCTCCCCAGCCGCCGGAGCCAGCTCGTCCGGGTAAATCCCAAGGGGTTCCCCGGTCAGGTCCGGTGTTGTGCCGGTAAGAAGTCCCCTCCGACAGCTTCTGGCGTATTTAAAAAGTATCCCAGGGGCACGGTAAGGGTCGGAGATGTTTAGTCTATTTAATTTCTGACTATATAAAACGATTTCTTCGGTTTTAAAGTGTGAAGTAAACTCCGACGAAGTAAAATCCAAGCGGATCCCGTTCATGTTCATGGTTACATCCGTGTTTGTTTACCTTTTTTGCATGCCAAAATGGCGTCCACTAACTGAGAGTCACGTGGGGTCCGGAGCTCTATAGAGATGCTATGGCATGACCTTAAAAAGGCGGTTCATGGTAGAAAACCCTCAAATAAAGCTGAAATACAACAATTCTGCAAAGATGAGCCAGACAAAATTCCTCCAGAGCGCTGTAAAAGACTCGTAGCAAGTTATCGCAAACGTTTGATCGCAGTTATTACTGCTAACGGAGGCCCAACCAGTTATTAGGTTCAGGGGGCAATTACTTTTTCACACAGGGCAATGTAGGTTTGGATTTAGTTCTCTTCCTAAATAATAAAAACCATCATTTCAAAAGTGCATTTT